TCTGCCTGCTCACTTCTACTTTTAGGAGGTCGAGGCAGGGTTCGCTTGGCTCGCAGAAGGGGCTTAGGGTTCAGGGTTCAGGGTTCAGGGTTTAGGGTTTAGGGTTTAGGGTTTAAATTCCCCTACACCCTACACCCTAAACCGCTTCCTAGCGTAAACCGTTTTCTCCTCGCACGAAAGCTCTGTGCTTCAGGGCTTCTCGGGTTTAAAGGTTTTTTTTTTTTTGGGGGGGGGGGCTCCTTAGAGATCCTGAGCCAGGCCCGCAAACACCTGCAAACACCTGGATCCCGAGTTGATCTTTCAAATTTCAAAGGGCCTGAGCAAATTGTTACAGATGCAAAATTGTTACAGTTGCACCCTGGACCCTACAATTTAATCCCTGAACCCCAAACCCCAAACCCCAAACCCTAAACCCTAAACCCTAAACCCTAAATGGCCCTAAGCCCCGAAACCTAAACCCTAAATAGCCCTAAGCACCAACCTCTTCAACTTTAAGCCTTACACCCCGGCAAGCGCCGATCCCCAGTATTCTTCATCCCTAGCTGGTGCGCTCCACGCAGGCAGGGCGAGCGAGTGGCTGTTTGTGGGATGACGCAGTTCGGAACTGAGGCCCGGCGCAAGCAATGTTGCTCAAGGGATTCTGGGGTGTAGGCTTTGTAGGGCAGGGTTTAGGGCCAGACACTGCAAGGCCCTCCATCTTACAATGCAGTCCTGAACCTCGAAGCCCCAAAAACCCCTCAAACCCCCTAGAGCCCCTGAAGCCCCTAAAGCCCCTAAACTCCTAACTAAGCCCCTCAAGCCCCTAGAGCCCGAACCAAGCCCCTAAAGCCCCCTAAGGCCACCATTCTAATTATCAAGGCCCCTAAACCCTAAGCCCTAAGCCCTAAACCCGAAACCCGAAACCCGAAACCCGAAACCCGAAACCCTAAACCCTAAACCCTTAACCCTAAACCCTAAACCCTAAACTCTAAACCCTAAACCCCCAAAAGTTGAATCACCCGCTTCAAGGCGGTCGGACTCTCCGGGCTCGTAAGCCAGCCGAGGCCGATAGATGGGGACACCTTGGGGTTCGGGAGGGGGGGTGGGGTTTAGAGGGTTTACAGGGTTTAGAGGGTTTAGAGGGTTTAGAGGGTTTAGAGGGTTTAGAGGGCTTAGAGGGCTTAGAGGGTCTAGAGGGTCTAGAGGGTTTAGAGGGTTTAGAGGGTCTAGAGGGTCTAGAGGGTTTAGAGGGTTTAGAGGGTTTAGAGGGTTTAGAGGGTTTAGAGGGTTTAGAGGGTTTAGAGGGTTTAGAGGGTTTAGAGGTTTTAGAGGGTTCCGAGGGTTTAGAGGGTTTAGAGGGTTTAGGGCGTTTAGGGTTGGTTGCGTGGGTGGGGGTTTTAGCATATTGGCGGGTTTTGGGGTTTGGGGTTGTGGGGCTTTTGGTTAAAGATGTGGTTTGGGTGTGTGTGTGTGTGTATATATATATATATGTATATATGTGTTTGTATACGTTTTCCATTGTTTTTTTGTTGGGGGGGGGTTGGGGTTTGGAGGGTTTGGGGTAGGGGAGGTTCCAAAAACTCGCGGGCGATGCAAAACAAAAGCGCGAGCATCAGGGGCTCGAGTAGTTTGGGGTTTATCTTTTGGTTCTCGATTTGCGGAGGGAACTAGGGTTGAGCGTGTTGCGTTCGAGATTGGACTTGCTGAACCCTATAGGTAAGGTCTGCCTCCAACAGCCTCAACCCTCAACCCTCAACCCTCAACCCTCAACCCTCAACCCTCAACCCTAAACCCTAAACCCTAAACCCTAAACCCTAAACCCTAAACCCTAAACCTCTATAAACCCCTAAACCCTGAACCCCAATCGCCAGAAAGCCTTCACAATGATGCCTTGAGGCAAAGCTTCCGCGGCTTGGCAGAGGACCCTACGTCTTCACAAACCCTAAACCCTAAACCTTAAACCCTAAACCCTAAACCCTAAACCCTAAACCCTCAACCCCAAAGCCAGCGCCCAACCCCAAAGGAAACGGTGCTCTCCCTCCATGGTCGTCAGCCCTCAGCCCACGAACCCTAAACCCCTACGAAAAGGCCTCTCGGAACCCTGCAGGTACAGCTCCACAACGCAAAACCCCAAAACCCCAAACCCTGCACCCTAAAATCCTAAACCCTAAACTCCCTAAACCCTAAACTCTAAACCCTAAACCCTAAACCCTAAATTCCCTAAACCCTATACCCTAAACTCCCTAAACCCTAAAACCCTAAGCCCTAAACTCCCTAAACCCTAGACCCTGGCAAGTGGGAGGTTTGGTGTTGACCAGCCAGGACCCGGCAACACGCTTCGTACAACTGGCCCTGCCTACGCTGCCGGGCATGCTGGGGGCTGAAGCAGTACATCTCAGGGTTTAGGGTTTACGGTTTAGGGTTTGGGGTTTAGGGTTTAGGGTTTAGGATTTAGGGTTTAGGGTTTGGGGTTTAGGGTTTAGGGTTTAGGGCTTAGGATTCAGGGTTTCGGGTTGGGACTTAGGATTTAGGCTTTGGGGTTTTGGGATTTCGGGTCACAGAGAGTCATGCGAAGCCCCTGGCCCTCAAGCAAGAAGGCTCAACAAGAGCGAGACAGGTGCTGCCTGCAATAACCTTCAAGCATCCCTAACCCCTAAACCCTAAACCCTAAAGCCTGAACCCTATACCCGAAACCCTAAACCCTGAAACCCTAAACCCGAAACGGGATGTTTGAGGCTAACTGGGTGGTCTTAAGTAGTGAACTCGGGAGTGTCTCGAACAGCTGTAAAAGCATCCACTTGCAATTTAGAAATGCAGTCTTCTCGCAGACCAGCGAGATGGGGCCTAAACCTTTAACACCCTAACCCAGAAAACCCTACACTCCAAACGAGATCCATTCGTGGAAGGTCCGGCTCTCCTGTCTTAGACGCAGATGGCAAGGCCTTCTGCCGTGTTCAGAGGCTTTGGGTTTAGCCTGTTTTTTGTGTTTAGGGTAAGCGTTTGGGGTTTGGGGCTGGGTTTGGAGGTTAGGGTCTAGGGTGTGGGCTTGGGGTTCAGGGTCTTGTGGTTTAGGGCGTTTAAAGTTTTGTGATTGGGGGTTTCGGATTCTCCTTTAGGGTTTAGGGTTTCTACTCCGCAATCCCCCCAACAAGGGGGGCTTCTTTCAATTTCTCTCTCCAAAGTCCAGATGGCAAGCTTCCGTGCTTGCACAGGGGCTTCCAGGGGGGGCACGCCAAAATCTGAAGTCCTAAGCCCTCAAGCTACCCATTGGGGCCGTATCCCAGGGTTCGAAGAAGACCGATTGCAGTATACTAATGGCACGCAGATGTTCATGGCAGAAACGACCACCTCATATTCCAGACTCTGGGGCCCAACCAGGACCTGGCAAACCGCCAAGGCAGACTGAGAGGTTCCCTAAACCCTAAACCCTGAACCTTAAACCCTAAACCCTAAACCCTAAACCCTAAACCCTAAGCCCTAAACCCTAAACCCTAAACCCTCAACCCTCAACCCTCAACCCTCAACCCTGAACCCTGAACCCTGAACCCTAAACCCTAAACCCTAAACCCTAAACCCTAAACCCTATAAGCCCTAAACCCTAAACCCTAAACCTAACTGTATGTGGTCAGCGGAGCCCTCGCCAGTTTAGGCTGGATCAGGGTTTCGTGTTTTAGTCTGTAGTAGGGGCCCAATCAACCACATAAACATCAGGATCCTACAAGAAGGCTTGATCGGAATCCCCCGTATAGGTGCCCTTATACCCCAATAGTAGGATCAGTATGTTTGGGTGGGTTTTGGGGCCCCTGTTTGGGGGATTTAGTGTTTAGGGTTCTGTGTTGCGGGTTTTGGGTTCGCAGTTGTTTTGTGTGACAACTCTTCGAGGTTTGTGCGGCCTGACTGTTGGGATCAAGGACGAGGGGAAATCTTCGCAACTATTACTTCCTCTGGGAAGGCTACACCCTAAACCCTCAACCCTCAACCCTCAACCCTAAACCCTAAACCCTAAACAGGTCGTGGCCATGGTTGCCAAGAAGTTTGAGGAGCATGGCCTGGCGATCCCAGCAGAGAGGCCTCTTGAATCGCTGGAGATCCGAGCGCTCTGGGAGACGCAGACTTGAAGTCTACCCTAAACCCTAAACCCTAAACTCTAAACCCTAAACCCTAAGCCCTAAACCCTAAACCCTAAACCCTAAACCCTAAACCCTCAAAAATAAACCCTAAACCCTAAACCCGAAACCCTAAACCCTAAACCGTACAGGTTTGCTTGAGGAACGCCCTGTTCATTTCGATGAGCAGTAAAGCAACACCATGACTTGGGAAGGGGGGAAGGAGACCGCTCCTGGTCTGCTAGAGCACGCTTCTCGCCCAAGGACCAAGCGAACTACACAAAACACCCTTGCCTGAAAGTTTCTTCAGAGCCCAGAGCAGATGCCTGAACACGTAAACCCCTAAACCCTAAAGCCTAAAACGCCTTAAACCTCAAAACTCTGAACCCTTTGCTTCTGAGTGCCGGGAGGGTGCACAAAGTGGTGCAGTGCCTACAGGCCCGGGAGAGGGGGTTTAGGGTTGAAGGGTTCAAGGGTTGAGGCTATTGAGGGTTCACGAGGTGTTAGAGGACGTTTCGCATGATGGAGCCTTTGTGTATTTCAGAGCCTGGTCAGAAGCAGGGGGTTGGGAACAAGCGCCTGACTTGAATCCTAAGCCCTAAAGCCTAAACCCAATGTGCTACACATTATTCAGGGCCCCCATGACTGACTCGCGCACCCCCTCTCCCCTCCGAAGCTTGGGGAAGGAGGGTTCATACCCCAAGCCGAGAGTCATCGTCCCTTGCAGACAGCAGCGTTATCCCGGCACAAGTTCCGGGGGGCTCCAGCTCAAAATCACCTTGGTCCCAAGCTTCCCAAGGTGCGATGCACCGTGCTTTTGTGAGTATTGTGCTTTTCTGCCTCGCCGCCAGAGACGCTGCGGCGACTGGGGAGAAGTGTGAGACCGACCATGCGCAGCTGCTTCAGAGTCGGCGCATGCGGAAGGTTCAGACAGATGAGGTGCCATACACCTTGCACGACCTGGGTGGGAAGTCCGTGTACCTGATCATGCCAGATCGCTTCTCTCGACTTGGGGGCGTCAGCCAAGGTGATCCCAGCCCATGTACTGGGAACGACTGGTGCAACGGCACAATCAAGGGCATCACAAGCCAGCTTGAGTACATCCGGGACATGGGTTTCGATTGTATCTGGGTCACTCCAATGGTCTTGAACATGTATGGCCCAGATGGGCCAAGCGGCTACGGCTACCATGGCTATTGGGCTCAAGACTACTACCAGATAGACCCCAACTTCGGCACCCAGCAGGATCTAAAGGAGCTCATCCAAGAGACGCACAACATGGGGATGTGCTTTATCCTCGACATCGTCTTAAATCACTGCCGTCCCATCCACAGCGAGGCGGACTTAAGTGAAGTCTACCCCTTCAACAAGACCGAGTATCTAGGCAGGTGCTTCGGGGCCTTCGTTGACGTGCAGGAGTCTCTTTTTAAGAAGACTAGGCCAACAACAATGTTTTTTCCCAGGTATTTCCATCAGCTGAACATCAGCAACATGACTTTTGACCAGTACACGGAGAAGATGGGGGGTTGGCCACCTCCAACGCAGGCCCTGGGCCCCGGGGCGCAATGTGAGCTGCAGTTCTTCCCCAATGGCACACCTGACGGCACCAACAATGGCACCTATTGCAACAACTACCCTGGCGAAATCTTCAACAACCAGACCCTTGCCTTATTGCCCTATTGAGTCCTCCTGGTTTATGACTCATGTCCTTGACTGCTCTTCCGATGGCGTATGGACTGCGCGTAGATTCAGGGGTACTCTAAACCCGAAGCCCTAAACCCCGTGGCCTTCTGCGCCCCTGGCGGTTTTTGTCCCGCAGCTCTGGCGCCTGCTTCCCTCTGACTCCAGTTTGAGTCCTCCCTAGGAGTCGTTGCCTTGCGCCGGCCTTCATTGTAGGAGTTGGCAGCTATAGGCTCCTGTATTAAGGCATTCCTGCTCGGAGTTTGTGTCGCCCTCAAGAGTAGGCGTTCTTGTGTCTAAGTTCGTGCATGTCCCTCGTCATGAAGCTTCAGCTTGCTGTGCACCCTTGCAGAGGCTTCATACAGGGCTCAGCCCATGTATGGCATGCACACGCGCACCACGGAGAAAACTGTAATCCTTTTCTTCCTGGCACTGCTAAGACCTAAGCCCCGGCAGCGCTAGAGCTACAGGCCCAGCTGCGTCCGACACCCGGTGATGCAGGATGCGTCCATCCCGACAACACAGCAGAGAGCATGGACGGCCGTAGGGCGAAGCCCCCGACACCTGCGTGAGTCTCCGGCGTCCCGCGAGATCTCAAGCACCACGCTTGCCAATGGGCCGTAACGCGACGCAAGAAGAACCTGACGGACCCAAGCAGACACCAGGCAGGCGTACGCCTCATCATCTGCAATGCGCGTTATGGGGGCCTCCGGACGGATCTGTGTGGTAAATCCACACCCAGCGCCAATCCCCATTCACTCCACCAACTCCTGGCGGCGGCGCAGGGCCGCCCGGGCGCGCCAGGACCGCACCGTGACAGACAGTTCCTGAAACAAGGCCGCGTGAGTCGTGGCCGATTCCACACCTGTCCGAGCCGCTACAGCCCGAGCCAAGTGCTTAAGTACGACCTCGGCGCCCTTGTCCCACGTGCCGGTGCTTTCTACCACCATGGGCACAAAGACTATGCCTTGGGCCTCGCAGCACTGCGCAGTGTTGAGGTGGTTCTCTTTAAGTTGTGTGTTGGGGTTTAGGGTTTAGGGATTAGGGTTTAGGGTTTAGGGTTTAGGGTTTAGGGGCCAAGCTGGAACTAAGGACCTACTATGGAGATCAAGCTCATGGCCCGCCAGACTTAAAGTTCTGTGGGGCTGGGAACTACAACTGCAAAGGCTGGGATGTGCACCCTTATATCAGTAGTTCTCAAGAGGGATTATCGTACCCTAAGAACCCTAAGAACCCTAAGAATCCTAAGAACCCTAAGAACCCTAAGAACCCTAAGAAGCCTAAGCCCTAAACCCTAAACCCTAATCCCGAAACCCGAAACCCGAAACCCTAAACCCTAAACCCCAGCAGTAGAAGGGGAAAACATCCCCCAACTGCAAAAGGCTACAATGAGACGGTGAACATCCTCGGCTGGTTCTACGACCTGGCGGACTTGAAGCTCTTGCTCCTTTTAAAATGTACGCTTGGTTTAGGGGTTTAGGGGTTTAGGGTTTAGGATTTAGGGTTTAGGGCTTCGGGTTTCGGGTTTGTAGGGTTTAGGGTTTAGGGTTTCGGGTTTTGGGGTTTAGTGACTTGCTTAGGGTTCGGAGTTTAGGGTCCTGAATTTTGCCCACTTTGCCCAAGCCCTCTATGCCCAAGCATATCCCCAATCCGAAAGCATTACACCTTGGAATGTTCCCCCGTTTACAAACAGTCCTGAATAGGGATTATAATAGTGGGACTATAATCCCGTTTAAGGACTGTTCGTATAAGGGTAAACATCCCAAGTTACACCAAGAACCCAAAGCCAAGAGATTCCAAAGAACCGTGGGTGGGCGTCGGATCTAGGGTTTGGGTTTGTTGGGTTTAGGGTTTAGACCCCTGGAGCAGCCGAGGAACCAGTCTGTACCTTTTGTGCGGCAGGGGCTGAAGGATTGGGTGATGTACATGGCCGGGTCCTCAGGGCCTTCCTTGGTAGCCCAGTCGTTCCGTTTTCCCCTTTTTTTGGTTCAAGGTTCCCTTATGAAGCAACCAACCCAAAGGGTGCCATTTTCGTAATATGGTTGCTGGGCTACCAAGTTTCTGTTATGCTGCAGCTGGGAACCCTAAACCCTATGTGGGTAGTTCTCAAAATCACGGCCCCCTTTTTGCGTGTAAATGATAGGGGCCGCCTTGGAATGAGGACCCCAAAAGGGACCGTGTTTTAGAGAAGTGACTATACAAGCCCTACACCCTGGCTTTGTTTGAGGTTGCCTCCGAGTTGCACGGCACTCTAATACCATTCTGTTGAGGAATCTTGTGACACAATGTTGCTTTGCATGATGGAAATGTTGCTGGCAGGCAGCCGCGATAGAAGCATTGATGAGGTCTTCTGGCCCTAAACCCTTAATCCTAAAACCTAAACCCTAAACCCTAAACCCAGCGTGTTAGTGATTCGTGTGGGGCAATTTGCAAGGGACGCTGAACTCGAAGTAGGCCGCGGGGGCTGACGCCAGCCTCTATAAATTTGCACACTGAGGAACTGACATAGGTTCCTGATATTACGGAATTTTCTTTGTTGATTCTCAACAGCAACCTCTTTCAGTCGGGCCTTATTATAGGGTTTACCTGTTTTGTGGTTTTGGGCTTTTGGGGCTTAGCGGTCTTAGGGCTTTAGGGATCAGGTCACAGAGTACGCCGTGGATGGCATTCGTTTGGACACAACGCCGTACATGAGGCACGAGTTTCTGAAGGAGGTCCAGGACGCACTGGCTTTGAGGGGTTTTGGACTCGGGCGCTGTTTTGGATTCAAGGTGTTCATGGTCACTTTCATCAATCATAAAGGGGATAAAACCCTAAACCGAAAACCCATCCACCGAAGGTTTAGGGTTTTGATTACCAGAATCCTCAACCCGACACTCGATGATCATTCTCATGAGAGGGGGTGCGGTGTTTAGGGTCTGAGGTGGGTGCCTTGGGCTGTTGCATTTGGCAGGACATGCTGCTGGCACTGGACAACCCGATCCACATCCTGGGGGAGGTGACCTCTACGAACATGAGCTTCCACGGGTCCTACCAGGCAGTAGGACGGGGGCTTGTTGAGTTCGGGCGTCGGTTTGGGGTGCGGGGTTCAGGGGCTTGTTCTATGAATGAGCTTTTTGTGGTTTAAGTCATATGCATATATGTGTGGTTTTTCTTGAGCTCAGGGGCCTTGGCTTAGGGTTAAGGCCCCGGTCCTTGAGGTAGGAATCAGGGTTTAGGGTGAAATGTCCCCGACACCAAAACCCTAAGCCGTTAATCCCAGACTCGGAAACCCCAACGGTGTAGGGTTTAGGGTTTAGGGTTTCGGGTTTAACGGGCTTGGAGTTTGACCCCCAAACGCTAGATCCTTAAAACCGTACACCCTAAAACCCTAAAAGCCTTTACTAAACCCCTCTAAGGCCCCCCTGAAACCCTAAACCCTAAACCCTAAACCCTAAACCCTAAACCCTAAACCCTAAACCCTAAACCCTAAACCCTAAACCCTCACCCCTTAGATGTCCCTGAATATGGCCCCTTACTTTCTTCAAAGTGTTCGGAAGCATGGGCCCTTAGGGTTTTCTGGGGGTGTGTGAGTGTTCGCGCAGCTGCGTGAAAAAGGACAATAAAGAGGGTTCCCCAACTACCCCAAGATTTGCCCTAAACCCTAAACCCTAAACCCTAAACCCTCAACCCCCCTAAACCCCAAGGACTGCGAACAAGCCCTGTGCCAGGTCCGGAACGGCCAGGGCGTCCTGAGCGGCCTCGAGAACCTGGGAACTGAGAAGTACTGCATTTGGTTTTGTTTTCTTGGAGGCTACACCCCAACCCGCAAACCCTAAACCCTAAACCCCAAACCCCAGACCCCAAACCGCAAACCCTAAACCCTAAACCCTAAACCCTAAACCCCAAACCCTAAACCCTAAACCCTAAACCCTAAACCCGAAACCCTAAACCCTAAACCCTAAACCCGAAACCCTAAACCCTAAACCCTAAACCCTAAACCCTAACCTTGTCTTCTCCTAGGAACTTCCCCTTGACCTACATGGCCATGCCCGGCTACTGCGGCTGGCCTGGCGGCCCCAAGTCTCCTGTGCCTCGGGTTTGCTTTGGGGTTTAGGGTTTAGGGTTTAGGGTTTAGGGTTTAGGGTTTAGGGTTTAGGGTTTAGGGTTTAGGGTTTCGGGTTCAGGGTTTAGGGTTTAGGGTTTAGGGTTTAGGGTTTAGGGTTTAGGGTTTGAGAATTAGGGCTGATCAGGGTTTTTAGGGTTTAGGGTTTTAGGGCTTCAATTATGGGTTTAGATGGTGGGTTCTATCAGTTTTGAAATTTAGGGCTTTAGGGTTTTAAGGCTTTACTAAATTAGGGTTTAGGATTGTCGGGCTGGAAATAAGGTCTTTAGGTTTTTCGGGGAAAGAGATTAGGGCTTCAGGGTTTTAGGGTTTCTGGTTTTGTTGTGGTTTGCAGCGTTGTTTTTTGCAAAGCTTCTTCGGTTTCTGGAGAGCCTTGGGACGAATCAGGAATAGACATGTAAACTTTTAGTACTATCCCTACCATGAACTAGATAAAGCTTATTGGGTTCATAGGTTTCTTCCATGTGTTTTGCAAAGCTTGTTTACAGGGCTCACCGTTGTTTTACCTGCTCTGCGAGACGTTATGGGGTTTAGCAGGGTTGGGCCTTCTAGGGCTTTATGGGGTTTATGGGGACAACGCTTATACGGCTTGAACCCTAAACCCCCAAACCAAAGACTGGTCCGCAATCAGCTTCGGGTTTCAGAGTGGAGCGGTTGTACGCGTTGACTGTGAGGTTCGAAGGTGCTTAGAGGAGCTTAGGGTTTAGGGTTTAGGGTTTAGGGTTTAGGGCACAGGGAGCCCCCATGGAGGTGGCACAGTTCGACCTGCAGTATCTGGGCGACACCATGTGGAAGCAGCAGACGCGCCCAGGTTCATGAATCCTAAACCCTGAATCCTAAACCCTGAACCCTAAACCTTAAACCCTAAACCCTAAACCCTAAACCTCCCCCCCTTCCCCCCCAGCCCAGCACTCCCTGAGCTCAACCTTCTCACTGGCACGCAAGAGCCTGCAGAGTTGCAAAGATGTTGGCTAAGCCCCTCTGATGCTTAGAAATGCTTGGCGCTTAGAATACCCGCAAGCCCGAACCCCCAAGCTTTCATTGGACCCCAGATGACCCGAAGCCCTAACGCCTAAAGCCGAAAGCCGAAGCCCTAAACCCTAAACCCTGAACCCTGAACCCTGAACCCTAAACCCCAGCTGCCGCTCAAAAGGACTGGCTACTACAACGATCTGGATCTGCTCATGAAGCCTGGGGCAGATTTGGAAACAGCTCGAATAAATCGATGGTCCCGAATCCCTAGTCATGTTACTGCACAGGGTTTAGGGTTTGGTTTGGGGTTTAGGGTTTAGGGTTTAGGGTTTAGGGCTAGGGTTGAGTCTTCTCTGGGCCCCTGAACGTATCCACCCCCAGGAACATGATGGACAATCAAGATGAGACACCCATCTGGGGACAATACCATGTGCCTCCGGCAGGTGGTCCGCCCCCTGGTGTGCAACGTTTAAGGCTTGGGGTTTAGGGTTTAGTGTTTAGGGGAGCGGTCGCGTTTAGGGGACTTCGAACTCAGCCACAAAGCCAACTCCACAAAGCAGCCAACAAGCTTCTCGAGCTCTTACCCACCTAACCCTCAAACTCTCAACCCCAAACCCTAAACCCCTAAACCCTGAACGCACCGGCAGTTTTTTGCTAGCCTGCTTGCCCTCTTGTATTGTTGCCATTTTCCCACGCCCTCGGCAGTAGATGCACCGGAAGTACGAGTAGTTTGTGTCGAAACGTTTCGGGTTTGGGGTTTCAGTAGTGTGGTCTGCGACATTAGACTTGAGCCTCAATCCTACAGCATCTAAGCCCTCAGAACCTTGACGTCCTAAACCCTAAACCCTAAACCCTAAGCCCGAAGCCCGAAACCCGAAACCCTAAACCCTAAACCCTAAACCCTAAACCCTAAACCCTAAACCCTAAACCCTAAACCCTAAACCCTAAACCCTAAACCCTAAACCCATACGACCCTCACATAAGCTCGCCTCGAAGATCTGAGGTTCGGAGGGTCAGGCACAGGGGGATGCCTCGACAATGCGCACCTTCGGGGGCAGCGCAGCACAGTGTTTGGGGCGGGTTTAGGGTTTAGGGTTTAGGGTTTAGGGTTTAGGGTTTAGGGTTTAGGGTTTAGGGTCTAGGGCCAGCAGGGATGAGGGCTTAGGGTTCAGCCTCATAGGGTTTTTTCCAAAGTCTCAGACCACCCCGATCCCCAAACCCTAAACCCTTCCGCTCCCAACAGCCAAAGGACTCTGGCGAGGAACGCCTGGGCCTGGCTACTGTTTGCCAAGGGCATGCCGGTAGTCACATGGGGTGACGAGCCTTCGCTATTGAGACCAGGGATTTTCCATACAAGAAACCCCTGAACCCTGCATCCTAAACCCTACACCCTTGAATGTTCATTCCGAAACCCTAAGCCCTAAGGGTTTAGGGTTAGGGTTTGTGGTCACAGGGCTGAAGATTAGACTCAACCTACAGAGTTGCGTAGGAGCTTCAAGGGTTTACTTACGAGCTTTTTACTAGAGAATTTGGGAACCCACTCCACAACCCTTAAGGGGATTGCAAAGGGTGCCTAAACCCTAAACCCTAAATCCGAAACCCTAAACTGTGAATGTATCTTTGAAACCTCCGTTGGTGGGGTGGGGGTCTGGTGGAGGAAAGCCGAAGCACTTGTGGTTTGGGGTTTAACGGCGTCAGGGGTTAGGGCTATAGGGTTTGGGGCTAGAGGGTTTAGAGTTCAGGGTTTTGGGGTTAATTAGCGTTTTGGGAGCAGAAGGTAGGGCTATAGTGTTTAGGGTTTAGGGGTATAGGGTTTCGGGCTAGAAGGTTCAGGGTCTAGGGTTTGGGGAGGTAGGGGCTTTAGGGGATGTGTGGCATCCTTCAGTCATGCGGCGACATGGAGAATCTACACCCAAGAATGCTTCAAGCATGCTTTGCTGCTTGTGCTTGCTTTGTCTACCCAACCTTAGTAGCCCAGTTGTAGCCCAGTTGTACCCTTTACCCTCTTTTTTTGGGTTCTGGGCTCCCTTATAAGTAAACTTTCGAGAACATGGCTACTGAGTTAACCCCTAAACCCTAAACCCTAAACCCCTAACCCCTAACCCCAAACCCTACAAAGGAGCAAGGCAACTCGGTGTACCGGAGAAGCCTGTGGCAGTTCAACTGGACCAAGTCCGCCTGGCAGTATAAGCTGCTGAACAAGATGAACGCCATCCGAAGGGAGCCTGGGTAGCCCAGTGGTACCCCCCTTAGGGTTTAGGGTTTAGGGTTTAGGGTTTAGGGTCTAGGGTTTAGGGTTTAGGGTTTAGGGTTTAGGGTTTAGGGTTTAGGGTTTAGGGTTCTGTTGTTGGGTTCTGGGTTCCCTTGTAATCATGTAACCAACCCCCAAAAAAAGGGTACCCTCATGATAACATGGCTACTGGGCTACTTAGGAGCGCAACGTGGCGAAAGCCACCCAGGAAATCTTGCACTACAGCAAGTACGTGCTGGTCTTCGCGCGGGGCTGCGGCGAAAACAGGGTGGTTGTGCTGACCAACAACGTGTTGCAGGGAACGGGAGAGCGGATGGAGTATTGGGTCAGGTGGGAAGGGAGCGCAACCCTAAGTACCCTAAACCCTAAACCCTTAAACCCAAACCCTAAACCCTTAACCCTGGCTCAGGTTGCCACGCCCTCCGAAAGGCATGATGTGGAGGGACGCCTTGCATGACCAGTACTTCGTCCGGCGCAAAAAGAAGGTGGTCACGTGGACCACGATGCCTTTGGTGCTCGTCCTCGAGCCTCTGGGCAAGAAGCGACCGTACGGAAGGGCCTTTGAGTCAAGACTGAGCTGAACGATCGCACCAAGAAGACCGGGCTGCCAGCTATGCTTCCTACACGCCGCCCGCAGACGTAGGAGATAGCTGTGCAGAAATTGCTGCCCAAGGTGGTGGCACAACAAGAAAGTGCTCGGAAAAAACCCTAAACCCTCAACCGTTAAACCTAAACCCTAAACCATGAACCCGATCGATTCTTGTTAGAAGCATTTGGTTGTTTAGGGATGGTGGCTGAGCTGATCTAAGGGCCGGGAAAGCTAGTACCATGAGGCAACTTTCCATTTTCTTGGTGACCCAATGGTACCCTTTACACATGTTTTGGGTTCTGGGTTCCTTTGTCAAGTAAGCAACCAAAGAAGGGGGCACCCCTTATTCTAAGATGGTTGCTGGGCTTCCGAGTTTTGGCGTAGGGTTTGGGGTCCAGTCTTGGGGTTTCAGCAGTCTGGTCTGCACCATTCGAGCCTTGAGCCTCGATCCAGCAACTGAACCCGAAGAACCATGAACCATGAAGTCCCAAACCCTGAACCCTAAACCCTTAACCCTTAACCCTTAACCCTTAACCCTTAACCCTAAACCCTAAACCCTACCCTAAACCCCGAACCCTAAACCCCAAACCCCAAACCCTAAACCCTAAACCCTGCGACTCTTAGACCGACGACAGTTGAGGCCGGCTCTGGCTGGCGGCCTCCTCAGCTAGGCCTCGAGGTCAAGGCCCGGGTCGTCTTGGGTTTAGGGGTTTGGGGGATTTGGGGGGTTTAGGGTTTAGGGTTTAGGTTTTAGGGTTTAGGGTGATGTTTTGGGGGCTGCTGTTCTGCGGTTTTGGTGTTTGGAATTTGGGGGTTTTGGGGCTTTGGGGCTTTAGGGCTTTGGGGCTTGTACTCGTAGGGTCTAGTGTTTGTAGGGTTTTGAAGGAGGATTGTGGGGCCTTGGTGTTGGGAACGTGGCTGTTCGTTTATGCAACGGTTTTTGGGGGGCTAGGGGTTTGGGTGGGTTTTGGATTTGGGCTCAGGGTGTAGCCTGGGTAAGCTGAACGCAGTAGCGTGAAGACATGCCTGCCGCAAGGCCTTCCATTCACAACGCACAGCAAGCCAAACCAGAGCCCGCCCAAACCACGCCAAAGCCAATCCAAGTTCACATGTCGAACATGTTTAGAGGACACTTGGGTCACATGGGACCTCTCGTGGGGCAGGTCGGGAGCCACATGGGACGCTATGGACATTCTGAGCCCAAGCGCTTTCAACAGTTGGGATGATTAGAAGGCTTGAGGCAGTTGGGACACTTGGGCAACTTGGCACACTTGGGACACTTCAACCTCTCTGGACACTTGTGCCTCTTGGGTCGCCCGGGACACCTTGGTCACCTGGGACAGGGTCCGGGGATCACCTTTGAACCCTGAACTCTTTTAGGGCTTGCACCCGGGTGACCCGGATCGTTCGAGTCGTTCAGGTGCAGGTTTCAGGGTTGACATTTGGGGTTCAGGGTTTCCCTGCTTTCGGCACCAGGAAAGCGGGACGCTGCTGGACCCGACCGTGGTCGTGAAGGCGAGGGTAGGGTTAGGATGGTTGAGGGTTTAGGGGTTTAGGGCTAAGGGTTGGCAATCGACACTTGGGGCAAGGCCTTTAGTTTCTAAGCCCTGTGTATCCTTGAAAAAGATTGATCAACTTAACAAAATACCTTCCCAATTTGCGAGATTCCCGTAAACCCTGCAACACTTCAAGACCATCAGACCCTTGAAACCCTCTACAAACTACCCTCTGAGGCCCCGTAGAGCCCTAAACTTTCAGTCCTTGAAGGCCCCAGGCCTCAATGCAACCCTAAACCCTAAACCCTAAACCCTAAACCCTAAACCCTAAACCCTGAACCCTGAACCCTAAACCCTAAACCCTGAACCCTAAACCCTAAACCCTAGATCCTAAACCCTAAACCCTAAACCCTAAACCGAGGCTGTCAAAGGGGAAGGAGCCCTGAAGGCCGGTGTGCAGGCCTGGGGCGTCAGAAGCCAGGAAAGAGGGTTTAGGGTTTAGGGTTTAGGGTTTAGGGTCTGGGGTTTAGGGTTTAGGGTTTAGGGTTTAGGGTTCAGGGCTATGGGTTTACGGGCCCAAGGGGTTCAAGGTTTAGGGTTTAGGGCTTAGGGTTTCGGGTCAGAAGGTTCAAGGTTTAGGGTTTTGGGCTGAGGGTTGAGGGTCTGTGGGGTCTCGGGGTTCGAGGATGCCAAAAGTAGCACCTCACATTCCCTTTCTTCGGGCCCAGGTTCCGCAAAAACTCAAGGGAATCATACTCAGACCCCTGATAATGTACCCCGAAGAGGTTCTCTTAATGTCTCCCTAACCTGGCCTAGAGGATCTTTAAAAAGGGTCCCAAAAAACAAGGGCATGAATAAACACCCTTCTGCCAAAATACACGGTGGAAACGTAGGCATCCTGGTTAGGGTGAAGGGAAGTAGGTGGGGCATGCGGGTTCGGGATCCGGTCAAATGATTCCCACCCACCCTCGTCGCCCCACAGGTTCAAGTCGGAACTGCATCTGACCTGTAGCTAGCCTTCTTCGCGTTTCGGGAAGCGGGCGAGAGGGTTAGCAAGCCTCGAGCAACAGAAGGAGAAGGAGCCAAGCAACCAACATGTTGATACCCCAAGTCACTTTCACACCCCAGTCCGAGTCTGCGCCTGAAGGACCCTCCCACATGCTCCCACATCCTCACCCTGAACTCCAAATCCCGAAGCGCCCCAAAATGCAGGCTCTTCATCGATTCTGCCTATAAAGCACTTTAGTTGGCGAGGCGTTTTGGGGTTTGGGCTGAAACCCCGAAAGCCCTCCCTAACACCCCAAAAAGCCTACATGCCTAAGGCCGAACTCCCGAACGAACCTCAAAAATTTAAACCCTAAACCGTAAACCCTAAACCCTAAACCCTAAACCCTAGACCCTAAACCCTAGACCCTAAACCCTAGACCCTAGACCCTAAACCCTAAACCCTAAACCCTAAACCCTAAACCCTAAACCCTAAACCCTAAACCCTAAACCCTAAACCCTAAACCCTAAACCCTAAACCCTAAACCCTAAACCCTAAACCCTAAACCCAGATCCTGAAGCCCCACAAGAACCGAAGGCCGGTGATGAGATCTTGGCTATCGGGGAGACCAGAGTTGTCGGGAACCCGAGAGTGGCCCCTAGGTCGTTTTGTGGTTTAGGGTTCAGGGTTTCACCCTGAACCGTGAACCCAAAACTGTGAGGCCGAAGCCCTGCAGCTCTAACCCTAAACCCTACACCCTGAGGACCAGCGACCCAGATCAGCAAGGGAGCAGGGATTTAGGGTTTCGGGTTTTAGCCCATTGTGTTGGTGTTATTTTGGGGCTTTAGTTGTTTTAGTGGTGTTGAAGGTTTCTCCTGGCTTTTGTGCGCTTGCTGAGGTTTATTTACGTGGACTTGGAGTAGCCTGGGTGAATCGAGCAATCCAGGAAATGATTGAGCTTGAGTTATAAGACATTGCAATATGGTCTCTGCTAAACCTGACGTAACCATAGGGGAGGAGAAATGGTTACTGGGCTAGCAAGAAAGGAATCTGTGCGCCACTCCTTGTGTTCGCCCTACCCTGACGACCCTCAACTCCTGAACCCTTCTCCTAAACCTGAAACCCGAACCCTCAACACACCCTAACCACCACAAGCTTCTGAACCCTCCTCTCCCTCTTCCTAGCCCAGTATAGCTTATATCTGAAGACGAGGTGCGAAATAACTTTGCAGGTGGAAAAGTATTTGAAATAAGGGGCCGTGCTGAAATGAGACATTTCGAGGTACAATTTGGCCAGGTAGTATAAGCCCATAAGACACAAGAGCGGTGCCCTTTCCGCACCATCCCAAAACGCCCTCGATCCAAAAACGGCTCCGGACGTCTTTGGCTGAGCTGTTCCATTCCAGCGTTTTGAAGCCTTCAACCCTAAACCCTAAACCCTAAGCCCTAAACGCTAAACCCTAAACCCTAAACCCTAAACTCTAAACCCTAAACCCTAAACCCTAAACCTTAAACCCTAAACCCTAAACCCGAAACCCGAAACCCTAAACCCTAAACCCTAACCCCCACTCCCAGGTCGACCTGCTCAGCATGCGCGAAGCTCTCAGCGCCCTGGGAGACACTCGCCAGGGCGACCCGCCCCTGCGATTGAGGCTGAGGCGCCCTGGGCCTCTCAACCCTCTAAACCCTCTAAACCTCTAAACTCTCTAAACCCTCTAAACCCTCTAAACCCTCTAAACCCTCTAAACCCTCTAAACCCTCTAAACCCTCTAAACTCTAAACCATATAAGCCCTATTAACCCTATAAACCCGAAACCCGATAAACCCCTAACTCCCCAACTTCCAGGGCGCGCCCTACCTTAACGCTCATGAACAGGAAAGCCTGCCAGGGCTTTCCTGTCGTATTAAAAGCAGACGAATGTTGGCTGGTGATGAGTAAGGGGGGTTCAGGGGTTTAGAGGTTCAGGGGTTGAGGGTTCTTTTTTGGGTTTGGGGTTTTGGGGGTGCTGAACTCTGAACCCTGAACTCAATTTTCTATACGGCCCGGCACCCTGAACCTAAAACCCTAAACCCTAACCAGGCAACTCTGAACTCCACACTTCTCGCGGAGCCATAAACCCTAAACCCTAAACACTAAACCCTAAACCCCAAACCCTAAACCCTAAACCCTAAACCCTAAACCCTAAACCCTAAACCCTAAACCCTAAACCCTAAACCCTAAACCCTAAACCCTAAACCCTAACCTCGGGCTTGCGAGGCGAGCTGGAAAGTTGATCGAGGTGTTCCTGGAGAGCCGGCGTGCTGCGCGGCCGGAGGAGTGATTGTTCGGGTTGAGGGTCTAGGGTCTAGGGTCTAGGGTCTAGGGTTTAGGGTTTAGGGTTTAGGGTTTAGGGTTTAGGGTTTAGGGTTTAGGGTTTAGGGTTTAGGGTTTAGGGTTTAGGGTTTAGGGCCGTCATAAGAGACTGTTGGGGCTTACGGCTACATAGGCATGTTGGAGGTTTGGAGGTTAGAGACTTGGCTATCAGGGATTTAAGGAGGGCTTTAAGGGTTTTAAGGGCTTTGAGCATTTTTAGGGTTTAAGAACGGTTGGGGCTGAGGGCTTTAGGGTTGTAGGGTACTCGGTATAGTCATCCCCCAACAATTCAAGAAGGCCCTTTTCTGGAGGGTCTCCTGTTTAGGGGACTTCGCACCCCTAAACCCTAAATCCTGCACCGCTAATTGCGGGGCCTTTGCAGGACTTCGTGGTGGCATCTCAGTGACCTAAGGGCCGCCAAGCGAGAAGCATCGTTTGCAAAAGACACGCTGGGCGGAAGCCACAACTCCTCGACCCGCATTTTGCGGATTTAGGGTTTTAGGGTTTAGGGTTATAGGGGTTAGGGTTTGGGGATTCGGGGCTTAGGGTTATTCAGGGCTGAAGCCAAACGCCTTTCCACGAAGGGGGCGTGAATTTCTGCAGCTGCAGTTGGCTTGTTGCGCTTTAGCAGACTTAGGACTGAGGGTTTGGGGCGTAAGGTTTCAGGCTTAGGATTTAGGGCTTAGGGGTCGACGGGCGCCTTAAACCCTAAACCCTGAGTCTCTTTAATGGATCGAAAGAGCTCGATGCGTTTGTCCACGCTTGCAGTTCTGTTTCGCAAGGTTGAGGTCTTTTTGTGCTAAACCCTCAAGCCTAGACCGCTAAAGAGCTCCAGAAGGCCCCAAACCCCAAACCCTAAACCCGAAAAAAACCGAACCCCAAGCCCCAAACCCCAAACCCCCAACCCCCAACCCCTAAGCCCATACCCCAAGCCCCAAGCCCCAAACCCCAAACCCCAAGCCCCAAACCCCAAGCCCCAAACTCTAAACCCTAAACCCGAAAAAAAGCCAAACCGCAAGCCCCAAACCCCAAGCCAAGCCCCAAACCCCAAACCCCAAACCCCAAACCTCAAACCCCAAACCCCAAACCCCAAACCCCCAAACCCCCAAAACCCCAACCTAAAAACCCTAAACCCCAAACCCCAAACCCCAAAACCCCAAACCCCAAACCCAAACCCCAAACCCAAACCCCAACCCAAACCCCAAACCCCAAACCCAAAAACCCAACCCAACCCCCAAACCCCCAAACCCCCCAAACCCCCAAACCCAAACCCTTAAACCAAAACCCAAACCCGAAACCCCAAACCGAACCCCAAACCCCAAACCCCCCAAACCCCAAAACCCCAAACCCCAAACCCCAAACCCCAAACCCAAAACCCCAAACCCCAAACCCCAAACCCCAAACCCCAAACCCCAAACCCCAAACCCCAAACCCCAAACCCCATACCCCAAACCCCAAACCCCAAACCCCAAACCCCAAACCCCAAACCCCAAACCCCAAACCCCAAACCCCAAACCCCAAACCCCAAACCCCAAACCCAACCCTCACACCCCCTGAGACAAGGCCACAGCCCTCGAGGCTCCTGGCTCAGAGCTCGGCGCCTTGTAGCCATTGGCCTGACCTCCAACGGCCCTCTGCCATGAACTAGAACAGTGCGAGGACCCAGCCTGTGCTTTGGGGTTTAGGGTTTAGGGTTTCGGGTTTAGTGTTTAGGGTTTAGGTCTCAGGGTTTGAGGAGCTACAAACCGTCTGTCAGATCAGGCGTTGTCAAGGGTCTCAGGGATGCGCTGGGTGTTCTCAAGGCCCTTTTCGGTGGCATTAGGTAAACAAAGTGGAGGGCGGCCTGTGTCAGATGGCTTTGGAGGTGGTATGAAATACCTGTGTCGAAGCCCTGTGTTGAATTGTTCAGGAGGTGGGGCCTGAAAATCGTGGGATAGAGGGTTTTTCGGTTTAGGCTTTAGGATGCAGGAGCTTGGGGTTCAGGGGGTTAAGGGGCTTGGGTGTTGAGGGGGCTTGGTTAGGGTCGCGTGAATAACACCCCCCCTAATCTGGATTTGTTCCGGCGCTGGGTCAAAACCAAAAACAACAAAAGTTTGGGGAAGCCAGGTGGTAATATTAAACCTTGGAGGCCTGGCCTCTTCTCTGCCCCTAAACCCTAACCCTAAACCCTGAACCCTGAACCCTAAACCCTAAACCCTAAACCCTAAACCTAAACCCTAAACCCCACACCCTAAACCCTAAACCCTAAACCCTAAATCCCAGCCCACCCCGCCCCCTCCCGGCAAGGTCATTCCGGCCAAACGAAGCTGCCGAAACTGCCAAAGCCGCGGCCTCGCCTCCTCCGGCGTGCAGGGTTTAGGGTTTAGGGTTTAGGGTTTAGGGTTTAGGGTTTAGGGTTTAGGGTTTAGGGTTTAGGGGTTAGGGTTTAGGGTTTTTGGGAGCGGAGGGTTTTAGGGGTTTAGGGGTTTTGGGTTTAGGTTTGGGGCTGCAGGGTTGAGGGTTTTAGGGCGTGTAGGGGTTTGAGGGTTTCGGGTTTTCGGGGTTTAGGGTTTAGGGCTTCGGGTTCAAAATTTTGGGCGCTTAGAGGCTTGAGGCTTTGGGTTTTGGGTGTTAGTGCTTTAGGAATTTAGGGTTTAAGGTTTCGGGTGTTGGGATCGACGCGCCGGGTTTGTTGACCGCTTTGGGTTTAGGCTCCATTGGCTGTCTGTGGGATGGCATATTCTGGGAAATCCTAAACCCTAAACCCTGAACCCTGAACCCTGAACCCTGAACCCTAAACACTAAACCCTAAACCCTAAACCCTAAACCCCTAACCCTTAAACCCTAAACCCTAAACCCTAAACCCTAATTAAACCCTGAACCCTGAACCCTAAACTAAACCCTAAACCCTAAACCCTGATTTTCCCTAAACCCTAACCCTAAATCCTAAACCCTAAACCCCCTTAGGCCACAAAAGAGGCACAGGCTCGTGTGGCTTCTCTTCAGCCCACGGATTGCTTCTGCACCAGTTTCCCTTAAGCATAGCCTTTTGGGGTTGAGGGTCTAGGGCAAAGGGACCGTTAGTTATAGCTCCGTTTAGCTTGTGCTTGCAAGTTCCCGGGCCACATGCTCACATAGTTGTGCAGTAGCCGCGTGCTCTTGCAGTTCAGCATGATATCTGTGTTCGCACATTTTGCAGGTCTACGGTAGTTGCAAAGTCCGTCAATATGGTCCCTTGCCTTCTTTAAAGGGCTCTGAAGTATCGGCCGTTGGGTTTCATAGGGTGTCCTACGGTACAAAAAGGGGTATATAAGGGGCGCCCCTGTTTAAGGGCCCATATTCAAAGACCATGCAACCCGAAGAGCAGGCCTTTCAACTCCAAGCTCCCCGACCCTGCACTTTCACCTCGCGGAGGAATGCGAAGGCTTCGCAGTTTCCTCCTCGTCTCCGCTTGCTTCTTCTTCACAGGCCCAGAGCTCACGATTTGGGAGGCTTATGGAGGCTTACGTCTAAACCCTACACTAAACCTCTAAACCCTAAACCCTCTAAATGCTATGTTACAATGTCCAAACCCTCAATTCCCTCAATCCTCTGCACCTTGCGAGCCCGTCTGACCCTGACGGAGGGGGGGGGGGGACCGAAACTACCCTTCCTGGGTCGTGGGCCTCCTACAATCAGGAATTTCGGATTTCGGGGTCTGGTTGAAGGGAACCCCTGTATGGGCATATCCCAAAATAGGGGACACCCGAAAACACCTTCTTACTACCGGACCACCCCAAAGCAGGGTACCCCTATTCTATTTTCAGAAAACCCCCCATTTTCAACTCGAAAAGCAAACCCTATTGAGGCACTCGATGGAGTCAAAAAGAGAATGGCAAAGGTGACGCCGCCAAGATGAAGATGAAGTCGGCGGGAAATGTGCAGGCCATCCGTGGGTTTTCTTAGCTCCAGGAAGGAGTGGTTCATCTGCTTCCGTTGCAGTTTGGGCCCTAAGCCCTAAACCCTAAACCCTAAACCCGAAACCCTTGCAGTTAGGGTCTATCCAAGCGGCTTATGGGGCCCAGGCAGACACAGATTGCCCTGATATACCATGGCTGCATAAAGCCCACGAGTGCGAAGAGTTCGACGCCTCCACACTCAAAACCTTATCAGGGCATTGCAAATTTAGGGTTTAGAGTTTAGGGTTTAGGGTTTAGGTCCCATGAGTATGAAGACTTAGCCTTACGAACACGCTCTGTCGGATGCGATTTCCTCGCACGCACAGGGTTCAGGGCTTGTGCCTGAGGTTCATCGGAGCTTCACAAAGAGAAAAGATTCAGGGTTTCGGGTGCTTGGTGTCTGAGGAAGACGAATACAGTAGCAGAACGTGTATTGCAACATCTCTCTCTCTCCATATATGTATCTATATCTATATATATATATATATGTATATATATATATATACATGTGTGTACATGTGGATATGTATATATATATATATATATACATATATATATATATATTCCTTTTTATTTACATTATATTGAAGACACTGTATCCTTTGCAGCAGCTGTCTTGGCCCAGAGTCATTCTTGAACCGCTAGTCCCACGACTACGCCGTGATCAGCATCAACAGCTCCATCCGCAGTCCGTGTCGACGTCCGCGTCCACGACTGCGGTGTCGACAGTCTCAACGTCGACATCCGCCGAAGCCTTCGAAGCCCCAACAGGTGTCATAACCTTCGCGCTTGGATTGCCGGTGCCTTGGTAGCCCAGTGGTACCCTTCACCTCTCCTTTTTTTTTGGGGTTCTGGTTTCCCTTAGAAAATAACCAACCCAAAAAAAAATAAAGGTGCCCGTGTCATGATATGGTTGCTGGGCTGCCAAGGTGTTGTTGGGCATTGCGTCGCTGGTCGTGGGCTATCAGTACCGGCGTTCGCGGAACCGGCATGAGCAAAGCCAAGAAGCTTGGCGGACCAGTGGTACCCTTTGCTTCTTTTGTTTGGTTCTGGGTTCCCTTATGAAGTAACCAACCCAAAAAGGGTGCCCTTATTATGATATGGTTACTGGGCTACCAAGGAAGTGACATTTCAGACAGGTGGGGCCGTCAAGGGTGAGGCAGTCAAGATTCCAGCGCCTGAGTGCAGAGGACATGAGGGGCCTGAGCTCAAGCTTGTGTCTCAGGCTTTGGGTCTTGAAGGCGTCAGCATTCGCTCGGACCGCGTCTCCATTTAGCCCCCCCCTTTTTGTTACCCAACAAGCGGCTCCTTTGAATTGAGAGGAGCATGTTTGGGCGTGGCTTCGTGAACTTCCAAGAAGTTTGCACCCACAATCGTCTTGTAGAAACCATGTGGCAACGGACGTCAAAAACCTGATGAGTCTCGAAATCTCCCTGCACGAACTAGACCAAACCCTGGCGACGCAATCCACCCTGAAGAACAGGCTTCAGAGCCGGCTGTAGGGTTTAGGGTAGAGGGTATAGGGTATAGGGTTTAGGGTTTAGGGTTTAGGGTTTAGGGTTTAGGGTTTAGGGCTTAGGGTTTAGGGTCCAGCATTTAGGGTTCAGCGCACTGATGCAAGGCAGCTCCCCCGACACCCCCTTGGTGCTTATGTGGTTCTGCAGTGGCTGCTCCGGCCTCAACATCATCGTCAAGAAACTAACCCGACACCTGACAACTTGATTCTGCTTCGAGGCTGACTAAACCCTAACCCCTACAACCGCTTAGACTTAGACCTTAAGCCCCAAACCCCAAGCCCCTGCAACTTGCCAGGGTTTGACATCCATCCCGGCAGATCTTTTCTCCGCAACGTACACACGTTGCTTTAGTCCGCACTTCTGCCTGTAACCGAAGCATCCTGGCGCGCAATGCAGCGCATGGGCAGACCGACTGCCACCAACTCGCGTGAGCAAAAGCGCATGGATCTCCGTTTAGGGTTTAGGGTTTAGGGTTTAGGGCTCTAGGTGTAGACTAGACTGTTGCCAGTTGCTGGACTGCCAAATAGTTGCAGGGAGTCGTAGACTGACAAGCGGCCCTTAAAATCCTAAGCCTGACGTCCAAGACCTGATTCTAAGCCCTATGATGAGCCCTAGACCCTAAACCCAAAACCCTAAACCCTAAACCCTAAACCCCAAACCCCAAGCCCTTCCTCAACCTACCCTTCACCCCAGCTGCAAGGACGCCATGCTCTCCCTTCTGCCCACCACGGACTCCCGTGCCCAAAAGGCGCTGCGAGTGCCCTGAGGGGTTTAGGGTTTAGGGTTTAGGGTCTGGGGTTAGGGTTTAGGGTCTAGGGTCTAGGATTTAGATGTTTAGGGTCTAGGGTTTGGGGTTTGGGGTTTGGGGTTTAGGGTTGAGGCTTTGGTACGATTCCTGTATTGGGGGTTGCCTGTGATTGAGATATCCTCTATATATATATATATATATATATATATGCTCTGGTTATTATTATTATTATTATTGTTATTACTATTTTTGTTTTTTATTTTGTAGTTTTTTTTTTTTTTTTTTGGGGGGGGGGGGTGGGGATCCATGAACAAATCACTGAAGATTATTGGATGGTGGGGTGTTTTTGGGAAACCCATTTTTTTAGTTTGCTGCCCATTTCGCATGTTACTAACACGGTTTTACGATGACTAGGAGCATCATTTCTGCAGCCATTTACCAGTATATTCATGTTTAACAGCAGCTTCTTGCAACTTAAATGTCCGTTGTCCATTGTGATTTCAATCCAAGTTCCTATCACGATCGTTTGCTTTTATTGCTGCTTCTACCATGAGACTGTTCAGTGCTACTGCTGTTTCGTATTCCGAAAGGCGGGTGGCCCTTGAAGGCCCAGTTAAAGCAACGCCAACCGCATCTACATTTCCGAGCTCTGCAGCTTTCATTTTGTTTATTGCTAAGTTGGTAGTTCTTTCTTGCTTCCTCTACCATGAGACTGATGAGTACCATTGGTTTAGGGTTTAGGGTTTAGGGCTTACGGTTTAGGATTGTTTTTATGCTAGGATTCTGAGCCGGTGGGTGGGTACCATGGCTTGGTTTAAACAAAGAGGTTTTAGGGTTTAGGGTTTGGGGTTTAGGGTTTAGGGTTTAGGGACCCAACCACTTGTGCGCCAGGCATCCGGCATGGAGAGCATCGTGCTGGAGCTTGCCAAGCAGGCAGTGCGAATGCAACCATCTTAAAGCATCATTTGCTTAGCTTTGCACTCCCCAACCCCTTGTATCTGTGAGCAATTTGTTCCCTACTAAACCCTAACCCCTAAACCCGAAACCCTAAACCCTAAACCCTAAGCCCTAAGCCCTAAGCCCTAATAGGCCTAAGCCCTAAGCCCTAAACCCTAAACCCCAAGCCCTAAACCCTAAGCCCTAAGCCCTAAGCCCTAAACCCTAAACCCTAAACCCTAAACCCTAAGCCCTAAGCCCTAAGCCCTACTCAGTCGCCATGGGCTACTGTGGGTTTGCCGTTGATGTTCGCTCCTGGCCCAGGCAAGCTGTGGCCTCCCATGGTTTGTTCTGGTTTAGGGGCCCTTAGGGTTTAGGGTTTAGGGTTTAGGTTTTAGGGTTTAGGGTTTAGGGTTTAGGGTTGAGGGTTGAGGGTCCAAGGTTCAGGGGATTAGGCCTGCACAGGGTTTGGAGGTTACTGTGGGTGAAACCCTTCCGTTTCTCTGGTCCTGTAAAACTGCAAGTGAATGCAACATGGTAACTTATCTTCAGTTCGTAAACCTTCACCTTAAACCCTAGACCCTAGACCTTAAGTACCGAAACCGTTCCTTGAGCTTGCTTTCAACCCCAGACCCCTGGGAGGATCCAAAAAGTAGAAACCCCAAATAGTACGCTGTTGGGTCATTCTTAGGATCCTTAAGGGGATCTGCTTCTTGGATCCTCCCAGGGGTCTGGGACGGTTTGAAGGTTGGGTTGTGGTTTATGGTTTAGTGTGTAGTGTTTAGGCTTTAGGGTTTAGGGTTTAGGGTTTAGGGGGTCCTGCGCCCTCGGTTGACAGGCTAAGTTGGCCGCAGCCGACTCCGGCAACGTCTCGGAGTGCCTCCGCTGCACAGCTTGGCGTTCACCCCAAACCCGGTGTTTAGGGTTCAGGGTTCAGAGTTTAGGGTTTAGGGTTTAGGGCTTAGGGCTTAGGGCTTAGGGGCCAAAGGAAGGGTTTTGTAGAGGGGACAAGGTACCTGATTCCTCATTCCATGGGAAGAACCAATAAGCACTCTCAACCCGAAACCCGAAAGCCTAACCCTATTCCATCCTAATAAACCATCCTAACACCAGAGTCCTCAAAACCCTGCATGGGCAGGGATGCTGTGCAACACAAGCAAGAAGCAAGAGCTGAAGTGACAGAAAACATGTGTACTAAACGTGCCCTGAACCCTAACCCGCCCCTAAACCCTAAACCCCATAATTGGACCCTTAAGCCCTAAGTAAATGGCCCTGGAGTGCCGTGAAGCGCACACCTGAAGCGTAATTGGTCAATTCTCCAGCTTCCATACGCTTTTTTGGTCGCTGGTAGAATACATGGGCTTAGGGTTCAGGGTTAAAGGGTTTACTCCAAGTTTTAGGGTACTATAGGGTACTGTACAGGGTTTAGGGTTTAGGGTTTAGGGTTTAGGGTTTAGGGTTTAGGGCTTAGGGCTTAGGGCTTAGGGCTTAGGGCTTAGGGCTTAGGGCTTAGGGTTTAGGGTTTAGGGTTTAGGGTTCAGCATCTCAACTTCGAGCATTTACTAGGCCAGCAGTGTGTCTAGGCAACGGAAAAATCCCACCCGCCCAAAGAATCCCATACCACTAAGAAAATAGAAGGTTCATTATTTCCCTTCGGATGCACCAATGCACAAAACAATCACGTCGTAGTACCAAGCACTTAACACAAGCCACGCCAGGCAGTGAGGCCTTGAAACTCTAAACACCAGGCCTTGAGGCCCTGAAACCCTCAACACCAGGATGTGAGGATTTGAAACCCTAAACACCAGACCTTGAGGCCAAAATAACCCTAAACACAAGGAGGCCTTGAAACCCTAGACGCCAGGCCTTGAGGCCCTGAAACCCTAAACACCAGGTCGTGAGGCCTTGAAACCCTAAACACCAGGCCTTGAGGCCCTGAAACCCTGAACACTAGGCCGTGAGGCCTTGAAAATCTAAATGTCAGGCCTTGAGGCCCTGAAACCCTTACCACGCCTTGAGGCCCTGAAACCCTAAACACCAGGCCGTGAGGACCTGAAACCCTAAACACCAGGCCTAGAATGGATCAACTTGCCTAATTCGTGCTGAACAATGGGGGGTCAAAGGGGTCAGAGGGGCCAAAATGGATCAAATTGCCTAGGGTTATAATGGTAGAGAGGTTTAGGGTTTAGGGTTTAGATAGGGTGTAGGGTTTGAGTTTCGGGAACTGGCCGACGGCACACCAGGCTGGTTGAGTCCATCAAGCCTGTCATTCAGGAGACATCGGGCCAGGGCCCAAACCCTAAACCCTAAACCCTAAACCCTAAACCCTAAGCTAGGGCCCTTTTGGGGCTTAAGGCTGAGGTATGGAGTTCCCGCGGCTTGCTTGGGGAGAGTGTAGGCACCCTTAAATCGTATAACATCTTTGGCCCCAAACCCTAAACCCTAAATACTAAACCCCAGCATCTTATTGCAATACGGAGCCTTGTATGCAGGGCATCGTGTAGACAATACCCCGTATGCATAGGCAGGGTTTTTAGCGCTTAGGGTTTTTAGGGTTTAGGGTTTTCAGGACTTTTTAGGGGTTTAGGGTTGTTAGGGTGTAGGGTTCAGGGTGTTTAGGCTTTAGGGTTTAGGAGTTCAAGGTTCCCTTAGAAAGTCACTACTCCAACAAGGGCTCAGTGTGTTGGATTCGACCAGCTGGGCTTCCACTGCTGTGCGGCCGCAATGTCTGGAGATGGCTGGCACAGGGGAACAAGAGCCTGGGATGATGGGAGCATCGGCTAAGGTGGAGGCGCTTGGGCGTGCTGGCGCCGTACTTGGGATGACGGCAGCCCGGCTGCTGGTAGCAGAACCTCCTCAGCCCATGACAAAACGCTGGGAATCCAGGTCCTGTGCGTTCTCCTCAGTCGACATCCCAGCAGAAGCAGGACAAGAGAAAGAAACAAAGCAGCCAGCGGCACCAAACGAAGGGACTTGCGGTGGGCGATGTCAAAGAAGCTGGCAAGGACTACTGCTGAGCGGGACAGCCTCCACGTGCAGTGCTCCGAGTTGCAAGCCTCATTATCACGTGGTCTGGGTAAGAAACTTTGGAGTACTCTACTTGAATACTTTTCTTGGTTCCAAATGCCCATTATAGCTACTTATACCTAAAAAGTATATGGTTTTTTCCAGGGTCTACTCCACGGTAGGATGGTGGCTACGGAGACAACAGTGTCAGCAACATTGCGTATTTCCACGGCCTGGATGGTGCTGGGTGGTCGATCAGAACTTTTGCCAAACTGAAGCCCAGCGATTTGAGGAAATAGCCCCAACCCATCGCAAACCCGAAACCCTACATCCTAACCCCACAACCCGAAACCCTAAACCCCACACCCCAAACCCTAAATCCCAAACCCTTCCCCGCAAAGAGAGGACATGCTGTCGAACATCTTCCAAGCTGCGAACGCGCTGAATGCCAGCTGCGAGGTCCAGACCCAGGGGCTGATCATTTAGGGTTTGAGGGTTTGAGGGTTTGGGGTTTGGGGTTTAGGGTTTAGGGTTTGGGGTTTGGGGTTTAGGATTTAGGGTTTCGGGTCGGAATTGAAGTTGTTGGCTATGCGGCTTTGGCGTTTGCATCCAGGCAGCCACAAGCCAGGTCCTAGGTGCTTAGCAGATGTCTTGGAATGCTTTCTTGACGACGCCGGAGCCCCAGTCCATGGTACCCCTAAACTGTAAACACCTAAACCCTAAACCTTAAACCCCTCAGCCCTAAACCCTGCAGACCCTAACCCTTGAACCCCAAACCCTAAACCCTAAACCCTGAACCCTGAACCCTGAACCCTGAACCCTGCACCCTGAACCCTGAACCCTGAACCCTAAACCTCGCCTTAGGTCCCATGTGTATGGGTGGTACCGAAAGATGACGCGATCGCTTACAGGGTTCTCCTCTCGAGGCTTGACTGATGCGGAGGTCTGCGCCCTTACCGGACTCTTCCCGGTAGAGGTCCATGTGACGGCGGCCAGAGCCATGCAGCTGCACACGATCGCGACGCAGGGACCGGGCTACCTGTGGTCGATCCTTCAAGCGGCCCCGGAGTGGCTAGACGCTGCCCTCAATGCACTCCGTGAGGCTGCCCGTGACACTGAGGCAGGCATAGAGGTGCCGCAGGCAAGAGCAGAAGCGCTACACTTTCTGCATGGACACCTGACGTGGCTTCGACGTTTGCCTGCTGCGCTGAAGCGGCAAGCTGGCCGAAAACAAGCTGAGGCGCGCGACAGCCTTGTTCGCAAAGCGAGAGACCTGTGTCGCTTGCACGATGAAGGCGGTGGGATCTTCAGCCTGCCGGCTGCTTCTGGCCACTCTGGCTTCCTATGTGTCGTTTGTGGTGGTCTTTTCTCCACGCGCGCTGCGTTGTGCTCTCACCTCTCCCGAAGACATATGCATGCGAGCTCCACAGCTCACATTGCAGGTACGCGATGCGCAGTGTGTTCCATGGAGTTTTGGACCACGCCCAGGCTTCGCCTCCATTTGAGAAAGGCCCCCAAATGCCTCACAGCACACATTGAGGCTGATCTGAGCTTTCTGAGTACAGAGCATAAATGTGAGATCAGCTTGAGCCGCAAGCCCGCCGTGCGCACCCCCGGCCCCACGCCCTTCTGGGCCTGCATGCGACCAGCTGCGACACCGCAGGAGATGCCTAGGCCGCTGGATCCACTGGTTTTTGTTTGGAGTGTTGCTGTAAGACATGCTAACGACTCCACGACATGCCTCAAGGAAATTGTAGAGTTCCTCCTGTTGCTTCCTGAAACGGTTCCCGCGCAGGAAATTCTTGAAGCATGCCCACTAACTGTTTTGTTGAATCCCACGACGGCTGAGAAATTGGCCAGCCTCGTGCAGCTTGGTACCCACATCGTGGCATGGCGCCGGAGAGGTGGCAATGCACAGTTTCGTGAGGGACCATTTCAGGTAACGTGCCAAGGCGACAGGGTGATGGTGACCATCGCCTAGTCGTGTGGAGCTGAGCGCGTCCATCGGACTCAAGCAGCAGAGCCACAAACCCTAAACCCTAAACCTTTCAAACCCTAAACCCCTAAACCCCTAAACCCTAAACTTCAAACCTCAAGCCCTAAACTCCCTAAACTCTGTGTAGACCCTACAAAGCCCGAGAAGCCCCAGAAGAAGCCCCAGGCTTCCAGGCGGAATCTGACGGGCTGCCCCGAAGTATCGGCCCGGTCTCTCAATCGGGGTTTCTGCTTCTTTTCTCTCAGAGTCTCAAGGGCTTGAGGGTTTTTTTCTTTTTAGAGGGTCTGTTTAGGGTCTCTCAATTTTTAGGGTTTTAGGGCTTTAAGGGCTTTAAGGGTTTAGGGCCACAGCGCTTTAGGGCTTTAAGGGCTGGGCCACAGCGCTTTAGGGGTTTAGGGGTTTAGGCCTTTGGGGTTCTAGGGGCCAGGTTTTTTTAAATTGTTTTTACCACCCTCCTTTTGTTAAAAGGTGTGGCTCCTACCCCCCCCCCCTAGGGTTTAGGGTTTAGGGTTTAGGGTTTAGGGTTTAGGGTTTAGGGTTTAGGGTTTAGGGTTTAGGCTTCAGGCTTCACAGGGTTCTCCGAGTCGATAAGGCGTGGAGGCACTGTGGGATCCAACCCCCCTCGACCTGCAACCCTAAAAGCCCTAGACTCTAAAACCCCAAAACACGAAAAGCACTAAAATCCTAAAGCCCTAACAACCTAAAACCCTAAGACCCTAAGACCCTAAAACCCTAAAACCCTAAAGCCCTAAAGCCCTAAACCCTAAACTGCCTAAACCCTTTTTTGTTGTGTATGGAGCTTGCTTGCTTGAAGGTCGTCACCTGTTTCCGTTTACGAACTTCATCCCTCCAGGGCGGACCAGGGTACTGGAAGGATAGGCGCAGAGCTTGGGGCTACTAAGCCTTCAACCCTGAACCTGAACCCTAAGTCCTAAACCCTAAACCCTGAACCCTGAAACGCCAAGCAGGCCCTTAGTGCTCTACGCCCTGTCAAGGAAGACACGCAGTTTTTCCCACAGCACTTCGATGGGGACTGGGAGACCCTCAGGACCGAATTGTCCAAGAATCCTCAGGGTTCAGGGTTCAGGGTTCAGAGTTCAGGATTCAGTGGTTTAGGCTAATGTCGTCGACTGCGGCCTTTTTTTGCATGTTCCAGGACTGTTGAGTGGGGAAGGGAGGGGTGGTTAACTAGGTGCCTCTCTGTGGTGTCTTTCAGTCTTTGCATCCTAACGCCAAGAGCCTAAGCCCCTAAACCTTGAGAGGTTTCCCTTGATTCTAGCATTCTAGCAGTCCTCAAGAGGGATTCCAGTACCCCCTCTTACAATCCCGAAGGAACCCTGCAGGTGGGTACCAAAGCTTTCAGGGCGGTCACCCAAACCCAAAACCTCGACCCCGTCAGCCTTGCCTCTGTTGCCTCTTTGCCATGGGTTTAGGGTTTAGGGTTTGGGGTTTAGGGTTTGGGGTTCAGGGTTTGGGGTTTAGGGTTTAGGGTTTGGGGTTTAGGGTTTAGGGTTTTGGGATGGGTGTGTCGACTGACCGTCCTTATCTGCGTTGGCCGATCTGTCACGGACACTCGTGATCCTCACGCGTCTTCAATTTGGGGGTCCCCTATTTGCGTAAACCCCCCGATTGTTGCGCAGAGTCGAAGGCCATGCGGTCGAAAACGCCATGTGTCAGACTTTGACGACAACGCATCGCCCATCGCGAAAAAAGCCGCTGCACACCGTGCTGTCGCAAGATGGAGCCTTCGAGGAAGCTATGTGGGTGGCTGTCAAAATTAGGGTCCCTTGTGTCCCGATTGTTATACGGCACCTAATACTTAGGGTACCCCAAAAGGGACCATAAATTTGACAACCACCCATGTGGACAAAGAAACGACGCTGAAAAGCGCACGTGGCGCGTGTCGAACATGCCGTCGTGCGCAATGTTGTTTCGCCCAAAAAGCATGTCCAAAGAGCAAGTGCTTGGGAAGTTGTACTTCGTGCGTGCCGAAAATACTCCTGTGCGCGGTGTTTTCGCGCGCGCGCGCGCGCGTGCAAGAGCCAAAAAGCCTGATGGCAGTGGTGAGGCAGTGGTGAGTTTGGCCACAAGAAAAAACGTTCGGCGGATCCCCGCGCTGCAAACTCTCGAGTCTTTCGAAGTTTGCGAGAAAACATGCGAAAAACACGCGGGGCCGCAGTCGCTGATGATACCTGGTTTCGGGTTCAGATTCAGGGTTCAGGGTTAGGGTTTTGAGTTTAGGGTTTAGGGCTTAGGGTTTTGGGGTTCAGTTTTTAGGGTTCAGGGTTTAGGGTTCAGGGTTTACGGTTGCCCAAAATTTGCATTCCCTCTTTTTGGGGGCTTCCTATTGCAAGGATTCTCGTATTTGGGGGCTATCGGAGGAGAAGGGGGTCTGGCAAATGCCCTAGGGGCTGTAGAGCATACTGATAAGCGTTATTTTCGGAGTTTAGACTTTTGGGTTAAGTTAAACCCTAAACCCTAAACCTACGACCCAAGTCTCCCCGAAAAGCGAGTTGCAAGCTGATGTCGGCCTCTGGCGCGCAGGACCAATCACCGCAAGTGTCGGGAAGAGGCCGACAGAGTAGACTTCCGGAAGCTCAGAGCTAACGCGAGTCCCAAAACCCTAAAGCCTAAACCCTAAACCCTAAACCCCAAACCCTAAACCCCTAAGCCCTAAACCCTACAGCCTGAACCCTGAACCCGAACTCGCAGCCCGAGCCATATGACAGCCAGTTGGCAACATCAGGCCTGCACACCACGTCCTAGAGCCACAACGCAGCCGATAGTGACCTACAGCCAAAACCCTCCGCCTTTAAACCCCAAAAACCCAGAAAACCCAAAAAAAACAGAAAACCCAAAAACCCTAAAACCCTAATCCCTAAAGCCCTAAAGACCCAAAACCCTCTGTGACAGGTGCCCCTGTTGAAGGCCGAGGCTGAGAGGGGGGTTAGGACCTAGGGTTCAGGGTGTTTGGGGTTTAGGGCTTTTAGGGTTTCTAGGCTTGGAGCAGCCAGTTGAGTGAGGGGCTTTGAAATAGAAAAGGCTTCCCATCTCACATCGCCTGAGAGCCCCATTTGATCTGCTGGAGGGCCCCTCCAGCATGATTTTCGCCGCCTACACCCTAAACCCTAAACCCTAAACCCTAAACCCTAAACCCTAAACCCTAAACCCTAAACCCTAAACCCTAAACCCTAAACCCTAAACCCATCGTCTGGTGCCACATCTGCAGTGGTTTAGGGTTTTAGGGTTTCGTCCCGAGTGTGCCGCAACGAAGCTCTGGAACGATACACCTTGGGTTTAGGCTGTAGGGTTTAGGCTTTATAGGGTTTGGGGTTTAGGATTTGGGGCTGAAGGCTTAGGGTTCCCAACCTTCGCAGATAAGCCGCTTAAACTATCCAGCTGCGGCTAGGCGGATCAGTGTTCCGCCATGCGAGACAGCCTGCTCGAAACGGAACAGGCCAGAGCAATGCGCTTCGGGTTTAGGTTTGATCAGGGTTTAGGGATTTAGGGATTTAGGGGGTTTTTAGGGATTTAGGGTTTAGGGTTCAGGGCTTAGGGTTTCGGGTGTATGGTTTAGGGTTCAGGGTAGCAACCTTGTAGCGATGGTCGACTCGGGTCAAAGAGGCTTCATCGCCCAGGGCAGCCCTCTTCAGGTACGACAACAGCCGAAGTCCGGTTTGAACAGCTTCCACACTTATTCCCCGACAAGATCCCACAGAATTCTATCCACAGACACACACGCACACACACACACACACACAAGCCAAAGAGGTCCCTCGGGCTGCAGGTCTCTAACTTCGAAATTCTGGCTTTGATCTGTTGGCTGGTCCCCTCTTGTCGCTCACATCATGCCATCATCCGGAGTGGGCAGGCTGATCCTAGTGAAATCCGATGCTCTTTAACACAGTTCCCTGGCTGCTGTTTTGGGTGACGACCCTGACCCGCACCCTAAACACTGAAACCCTAAACCCCTAATCTCCTGTAAATCTCCAACTTAAACTTTGCTGCCCATTATCAGCCCGTTGGGCAAAGATGCTTTCATGTGCAAGCCCTGAACCCTAAGCCCTGAACCCCAAACCCTAAACCCTAAGGCCTAAACCCGAAGCCCTAAACCCCAAACCCTAAACCTTAAACCCTAAACCCTAAACCCTAAACGAGCCGCAAAGAAGCAGCGAGCTCCACGCCGTCTTGAGGCTGCCTTGGAAACCTTTCGGTCCCTGAACATCTTCAACAGCCCCCAAGAGTCAGGTTCTCAGGATGGTCTCGGAGGGTTTATGGGGCAGAGGCGGGGTTTAGGGTTTAGGGTTTAGGGTTTAGGGTTTAGGGTTTAGGGTTTAGGGTTTAGGGTTTAGGGTTTAGGGACTAGGGCTCCCCGAGAGCTTGGTAGCCCAGTGGTACCCGATGCCCTTTTGTTGGTTCATGGGTGCCAGTATGTTTACTGGGCTACCAAGAGATTCCGATTTAGGGTTTAGGGTTTAGGGTTTAGGGCTTAGGGCTCAGGATGCTCAGTCCTCAGTGTTTATAGGGTTTTACTACCAATTGCTTAAGAACCCACAAGAAATGAAAGATATTTTTCCTGATAAGAGTAATATAGTTCTTTTTTTTTTTTTTGGGGGGGGGGGGGGGTTCTTAAGCAAATAGTAGTTTATAGGGTTTTGTTAGAAGGCTTATAGGCTTTATAGTTTTTTTTCAGAGCGCTTATCGGGTGTTCTTCAAGGGTTTGACGGGTTTGTAGGGGGTTCATGAGCGGGTTTATCGGGCATTTATAAGGGGTTTAAAAGGGTTTGTTAAAGGGTTTAAGATTTGTAGGTTGGGTTTTTGGGGTTTATAGGGTGTATACGGTTGTTTAGTGGGGTGTACAGAAATTTTTGGGGTCACATAACCCGAGATCCTAGACTCTAAATCTTAAATCTCAAGCCGAAGACCCCCCCCCCCCCCCCCCACCTTCCCTAATCCGCAAATTTAGGGCTTAGGGTTCAGGGTTTAAGGTGCACCGAAGAGATGCGAACCCTGAGCTGCAAAGGGCACACAAGAAGCCCCGAACCCTAAAACCCTAAACCTCACCTGCTGGGCCGCAATATGCGAATGCTAGGGTTTAGGGTTTAAGGTTTAAGGTTTAGGGTTTAGGGTTTAGGGTTTAGGGTTTAGGGTTAAAGCCCGCAAGAATGGCGCCCAGGTGATGATTGGGGTGTAAGCAGTGTAAGCCCGAGGCCCAAACCCTGTGGTCCCTAAACCCTAAGCCCCAAGAATTCGTAGACAGCTGGAATCCGAAAGTCTTTGAGAGGGGGGATGCGGAAATACCTAAAACCCTCAACGGAATGCAGAACAGACGCCCTCAACCAAACCTGAAGCAACTGCCAAAAGCGCGTACAAGGAGGCAACAGACTAAGCTCGTGGCGATGCCAGGGAGATAGTCGCACATGAGTGGGACAAACACTAGGTACGAATAAACAGTAGCTTCACAAAGGCTTGAACTGTGCTAGCTTGCGTTAGCCGCTCAAAACGGTTCCGAATTCATGTCCTAACTTCAAAACCCTAAACAAGCAAAAACTCTAAGCTCCAGACATAAACCCTAGACTCTATAGACCCTAAATTTCGCCCAAAACGAAAATAACTCTAATACCCTCTCGTGCAGGCAGGGTGAGGCCCGGCCTATTGAGCTCAGGTGTCACATAGCATCCTCCACCAACGCGGAGGACTATTACAAGCGCACCTTGTTGGCCAGACCAGGTTGGCCAAATTCTGGGTTTAGGGATTGGGTTTTGGTCATTGGGTTGAGACTTTTAGGGTTTTTAGGGTTTTAGGGTGCTAGGGTTTTAGGGTTTTGGGGTTCAGGGTTTAGGGTTTTGGGTTTTGGGGGAATTTGTTGGGCTCCCTATATATAGTTCCTGAACATGGAGGGATATAAGGTACATAAGTCACTAAGTCTACCACGAAAACGAAAGCCTGTGAATCGTACTTTCTCCACACCCTACACTTGAAACCGAACCCGTAAACCCTAAACCCTAAAACTCGAAAACGCACTTCTTTCACACCAGGATTTACTCGCGGATAGCCTCAACACAAATCGTGCATCCCATGGCTCACGGCTTTAGGGTTTAGGGTTTCAAGCATTTCGCCTCCGTTCAGCCGGAATTTCGGATAGTTGCATCCCATGAATTTCTGATATGGAGGTTTCCGAAATGGGGGCACCCTCTGAAGAATTAGCTAGAGCATCTTCGGGGTATATTAAATCCCTATCTTGGAGATTTCCCATCTCTGCTCTGTTAGACACCTTCTGACACCCTAAACCCAAACCCGAACCCATCCCATCCACCGAGGAATGTACAAGCAAACCCTAGACCTCAAACCCTAAACCCTTAACCCTTAACCCTTAAACCCTAAACCCTAAACCCTAAGCCCTAAGCCCTAAGCCCTAAACCCCTAACCCTTAAACCCTAAACCCTAAACCCTAAACCCCTAACCCAAAGGAATGTACGAGCACTTCGATGCGGAGTCCGCGGCATGGTGGGAAGTCTGGGCACCCGGAACCCTAAACCCCTAAACCCCTAAACCCCTAAACCCCTAAACCCCTAAACCCCTAAACCCCTAAACCCCTAAACCCCTAAACCCCTAAACCCCTAACCCCCTAACCCCCTAAACCCCTAAACCCCTAAACCCCTAAACCCCTAAACCCCTAAACCCCTAAACCCCTAAACCCCTAAACCCCTAAACCCCTAAACCCCTAAACCCCTAAACCCCTAAACCCCTAAACCCTAAACCCTAAACCCTAGACCCTAAACCCTAAACCCTAAACCCCGGGACGTTCCGCCTTGAGCGGCACAGTGAGGGTTGAGGCTTTGGGGCTTTGGGTTTCTAACAGGGTTTCTTATAGGGTTTAGATAGGGTTTACATGGTTTTAAAGGTTTTGGGTGCTTGTGGGCTTTTTTTTGTGGGGTTTACATGGCTTTTAAGGGGTTTTAGCAGGTTTTTTTTCGCAGGGTTTACATAGGCTTACATGGTTTATCGGGTTTAGGGTTTAGGGCTTAGGGTTACAGGGTTCAGGGTTTAGGGTTTAGGGTTTAGGGCTTAGGGTTACAGGGTTCAGGGTTTAGGGTTTAGGGTTTAGGGTTTAGGGCTTAGGGTTACAGGGTTCAGGGTTCAGGGTTTAGGGTTTAGGGTTTAGGGTTTAGGGTTTAGGGTTTAGGGTTTTTTAGAAAGCCCCCTGCCCATTCCCGGGTCTGAAGACAGGTCTGAAGCCGACTCTTCGAGGCATGTCCCTAAACCCTAAACCCTAAACCCTAAACCGGCGAAGACTGCGGGGGCTACTTCTTTATCTCCGTGATTTCTACAGGTTGAATGCCGCCCAACATGCTGCCGAGATGCGGATCCGACTGTGACTGCGAGGCCTACTATTCCGAATGGGCATGATTCTGGACATGCCTAAACCCTAAACCCTAAACCCCAAACCCTAAACCCTAAACCCTAGACCCTAAACCCTAAACCCTTCGCAAACTGGTGGAGCCTGGTGGTGCGAGGGCGGCTCAAGACGGATGGCTCCTGGCTCGGACAACGGAGTCTGCGGAAGACACGCGACGAACTGGAGGAATGACAGTGATTAAGAACTGCAAGCCTTGTTGGCGTAGTCTTCGGGTTTTGTGCGAAGGTTAGAGGGTTTGCTTATCGGGTTCTTAAGGGAGGGGGGTTCATGGAGGGTAGGTACCTAGAAAGCCTTAGGGAAGTTTATGGAGCCTTAGGGAGTTTAGGGAGCATTAGGGAACCTTGGGATATATACCACCCTTGAACCCCCTCCCTTAAGAACTCCATATTTGGTGGAATTTTGGACCTTGGGTTGTTGGGTTGTTGGGTTTGGGATTTTGATTGGGGTTTACGGTTTCGGGCGGGGTTTAGCGGAGGCCACTTTGCATGTTTGGAAAGAAGCGTGTCAGCCAATTTGTACCAGTACCCGGTACCCACGAACGCACACGTGCACGTACAGACAGAGAGACAGCCTCAACTATCCAACACGACACCCCATTCCCATCCAAAAGACATATTCGCAACAAGCCTCCTCTAGGTTGACATCAGCCTACCAAGATCGCACATGCCTGTCCGAGATAGCTCTGAGCAAGATGGCTGAATAGACTGAAAGAGTCCCTTGGGCCATAATAGATTCGATCCCTGATCCGCGGACCTTAAACAAACCCTAAACGTACATACGAAGCCTAAGCTCGAGACCCGAAAGTCGAAACCCTAAACCTCAAAACCCTAAACCCAACAAGGCACCTTCCGGTTCACGGTAGACGGCTGAGGCCTACGAGCACATGAACCAGATTGTTGCGAACCTCTCGAAATGGAACTGCGCCCGCCTCGGTGGTTCAGGGAATTCGGGCTTCAGCTTCGGAGCGTGCGGGCTTAGGGTTTCGGGTTTCGGGTTTAGAGTTTAGGGTTTAGGGCTTAGGGCGGTTTAGGGTATACAGAGTGTGTAGGGTTCATCGGGTTTAGGGCTTAGGGTTTTGGGTAGCCCTACACCCTCAACCTCAACAGTGTCTTGTAGAGTGCACCAAGGGGGATGGACAAGTGCTACAGCCAGAATCTAGACCTGACTTGCCGGGCTTCAGGTAGAGGATCAGGTTTAATTAGGGCTTAATTAGGGTTTTATTAGGGTTTTATTAAGTTTAATTAGGGTTTAATTAGGGTTTTGTTAGGGTTTTATTGGGGTTCAGGGTCCAGGGCGAACCGCCAAAGCCATGCATGTTAAGCCCGGCAAGAAGGCGTGACACCCAGGAGACTCCTCAGACATCTTCAAGACATCTTCACGCCCTCTGAGACCAATAGACCCTTGACCTGATTGATTGTAAAGCTTAACCCTACAAGCTTCTCGCTCAACCAACACCCAAACTTTCGCGGTGGAATTTTAGGGGTTTACGCAATGACCGATGTTAGGGCATTCTCACTCTGAGGAAGGGGGGGGTTTTCTTACCAACGTTCGGCTTAGGTAGCTCTACAAGGGTTTCGGCTTTTAGGGTTCAGGGTTTAGCGATCTCATATCAAAAGCAATCTTACTTCAGCTGCACCCCCACAGGCTCGAAGCCCACCAACGCCTACTACGTCAAGTGCCTGCGCGACGATTCATCGGGCAGCGGGTGATGTTGTCGTTTAGGGAGTTGGGGAAATTTAGGGGTTTAGGGCTTCGGGTTCTTGAACAAGTGGTTTTCTTCGGTACACGGCTCCAAAGGTCAAGGTCCTCTGCGTCAGTTTAAGTTGCACATACTAGACCCCAAGAGGGGGTTGAGTTTAGGGCTACAAGGCGTAAAGTCCCCAAACCTGAAGCCTTACCAAACCCGAAGCCCTGCACCGTATGATCCCTGCACATAGCGCAGGGTCGCGTGCTAAGAGGGCTTAGGTGAACTTGCCTAGGGTTTCTGTAGGGTTTAGGGTTTAGGGTTTAGGGTTTAGGGTTTAGGGTTTAGGGTTAGGGTTTAGGGTTTAGGGTTTAGGGTTTAGGGTTGCTTTCCCCAGGATCGGACAATGCCAGCGGATGCAGCTCCTGTTGGAGGAAACCGCTTGCGATGTGCGGGGGCCGAGGAAGGGGAGTCCTGGGGGTTGGGGGGGCTTAGGGGGTTTAGGGTTTAGGGTTTAGGGTTTAGGGTTTAGGGTTTAGGGTTTAGGGGGTGTTAGGGTTTCGGGTTTAGGGCTTCAGGGTCAGCGTCGTGTTCGGAGATGCTCCTAGGCAAGAAGCCCTAAACCCTGGACCCTAGACCCTATCCCCAAAAACCCTAAACCCTAGCGAGAAACGCTGAACCCACAGGCACAAGAAGGTGTTCAGGGTCCAAGAAGATAGCGCGGAAGGCATGCTCCCAGGCAAGAGCACCCCAAAGCTTGCAGTGCTGCGGTTTAGGGTTTAGGGTTGAGGGTTTAGGGTTGATCAGGGGCAAACCGATCAGGACGGCGTATGGGGGCGGATGGCACACAGCCTTCGGCAAAGGCCGTCGAACCCCCCTAGCCTTCGTCGAAACCCTTGGCCTTCGTCGAACCCCCCTCCCGGCCCTTGTGGCCTTCGTCGAACCTCTGGCCTTCATTTAGCCTTCGTCGAACCCTCGCGTTTTTTTTCGGGCTTTGTCTTGGCCTTTTGTATCGGCCTTCGTCGAACCCCCTCCCCCTTCGTCGAACCTCCCGGCCTGCGTCGAACCTTCGCCCGGCCCCCCGGCCTTCGTCGAACTTCGTCTCCGTTGGTATCCCGAGTCTTCGTCGAAGTTCCCCGGCCATCCTGCTCTTCGGCCATCCTGCTCTTCGGCCATCCTGATGTGTTTTCCCCTTAGTTGAGGGTTGAGGGTTTAGGGTTTAGGGTGGCCGTGTATGACTTTGAAGTACTGTGCGTGCCTGAGTATCAATCCAGCCCCTCTAGACCCTCATACGCTTCCCTCTAGCCTCAGGCCCTTGAAACCCTAAACCCTAATTTATCGACAACCGTCTATGAGGTCCCCTCAAACCCTACAAACCCATGAGGGTCCCCTCCCCTAGCGCCTCGAAGCAAGGTCTACAGCAGGACGAACGAGTCCTGCGCCACATTGGGGTCTTGCCCTTCGGCTTATAGGGTTTAGGGTTCAGGGTGTAGGGTTTGGGGTTTAGGGTGAAGGGTGTTGGGTGTAGGGTGTAGGGTTTAGGGTAAGTTTAGGGCTAGACCAGCTCCCATGGATAAAATTTCTCGTTTTACAGGTTTGTGTTCTATTGGCATTTTTGGGAGCATAAGCTTCGAAAGGCCAATCTACTTGGGAAGTGACAGGGTACCCCAAACGCTTGGGCATTTGTAAGCTGGGTACAACTCCCAAAGGACTCACTCCCGTTAAAGCCCTAAACCTAAACCCTAAACCCGAAACCCGAAACCCTAAACCCTAAATCCTAAACCCTAAACCCGAGCCCGCGTCATAAGAGGGGAAGGCTGGCTTTCTCGAGCTCTAAGGTTTCACAGGAAGGGGTTTAGGGTTTAGGCTTTATGGTTTGGGGTTTAGGGTTTAGGGATTAGGAAGGCAGGGGAAAGTCCCAGGCGAAGACGCCCGGTGGCAATTCTACTCGGAGGCAGGACCCTCCAGCAGAGTTGGGAGTTGGTGCGCCTCGTACAACTTTCAATGTCAGGTTTGGTTCTGTGCTCTTTTCTGTGGCCGACGTGACCGGTTTAATTCGGTGAGCACGCCAGCCAGCTCAGTTCTTATGTTGAGGTTTCCCAGAAGGGAGTTTACGATAAACGGGGTACCTTAATAGCTAGGTCCGTTTATAAGCCGATCCTACTATTCGGGGGTAATAGGGGTCCCCTATTATCGTCAACTCCCAAAAAAGGTGGGTAAGGTTTTTAACTGCCCACTCTGCATCTGAATCACAAGCCGTAAAGCCCCTCAAGATTGGGGTGGGGGGGGGGGGGGGGGGGGGGGGGGGGCGGTTTTGGGTTTAGGACCGGCCTGGGGGATTACGCTGTAGAGATCCTACCTGCAACACCCCCCCCCAAAAGAAAAAATAAGAACAATAAGGCAAAAATGAACAGAAATAAACATTATAGTAGATATATATATATATATATATGAATAATTTTGAAGGTGCTGACAATATGAAGATCCTCACGGGATGATTCGGGACGCTACAAAAAAGGTAGGTTTTGGGGTTCGGAAGGTAAACCCCTTGCTCTCCAACCTGATTAAGCCCTAAACCCTATAACCCCCCCAAACCCCGTAAACCCCCAAACCCCTAAAGCCCTAAACCCCTAAACTCTAAACCCCTAAAGCTTCCAAAGCCCCTAAAACCCTTAAACTTCCAAAGCCCCTAAAACCCCTAGAACCCCTAAAACCCCTAACGCCCCCAAAACCCCTAGAACCCCTAAAACCCCTAAAACCCTAAAAACCCCCCAAAACCCCTAAAACCCCCAAAGCCCCTAAAACCTCTAAACCCCCTTAGAACCCCTAAAACCCCTAAAACCCCTTAAACACCTAAAACCCCTAAAACCCCTAAAACCCCCAAAGCCCCTAAAACCCCTAAAACCCTTAATACCCCCAAAACCCCTTAAGCCCCTAAAACCCCTAAAACCCCGAAAACCCCTAAAACCCCGAAAACCCCTAAAACCCCTAAAACCCCCAACACCCGCAGCGCAGGTGGTGTCTGCCAGTCAGGAGGGCCTGAACTCGCTCAAAGACGAGTATCGCCCGGGGCCAAGTGTCGCTTCGGGGGGTTTAGGGTTTAGGGTTTAGGGTCTAGGGGTTTAGGGGTTTAGGGGTTTTGGGGTTTTGGGTTTACGGGTTAAGGTTTAGGGGTTTAGGGTTCAGGGCTTCGAGTTTAGGGCCTGGGGCTTCGGCTTAGGGTCTCGGATTCCGGTTTGAGGTTCTATGATGCGAAGCCTACCATGCTCTAGGGTGTAGGGTTTAGGATGTAGAGAACTGTCCGCATGTCAGGCCCGTAATAATTGTCGCCAGGATGTTTTTCGCAGAAGGTGGAGGGTTGCAGGTTTCAACCCTAAACCCTGAAACCCCAAAAGCACCCTGAGGTTCTTCTTAGAATATTCGTGAGGGTTTAGGGTTTAGGGTTTAGGGTTTACGGTTTAGGGTGTAGGGTTTAGGGTTGTCAGTGGCAAGTGTACAAGTTTGGCGAAAGAGCGGCCTGGGGAACGACCCACACCTTACGCCCTGAGCACTACCGAAAATTAGTCTCAAAATGCAAGCTCGGCAGTTGAGCCCTACACCCTGAACCCAGAATCCTTGATACCAGAACTAGAAAGAGCCCTAAACCCTCAAGACCAGGGCAACAACAGAAGTTGTGTGTGATCTAATTTTGAATTGTCAGGGTTGTTTGGCTCAACTACAATGCCCATCCCAAGACAACTCGAAAACATCGAGCTCAGCAAAGCGATCCAAAGCATCCCGGGAGGCCGGGATTGGTAGCCCGTGGTACCCTTTTCCCTTTTATTATTTCAAGGTTCCCTCATTAAGGAGTGCCCTTATTGTAGATTACTGGGCTACCAAGAAGGGGCCCGGGAAGCCCTAAGCAACCGAAGCTCGGACTAAACCTTCCCGCCCAAGCAAGAAACAAAACCCGCCCAAAACTTTCGCCCAGAACCCCAGACAATCTCTCTAAGTCCTAAACCCCAAACCCTAAACCCGAAAGCCTAAACCCTAATCCCTCTCCCAGGCGCCACCAAGCGCATCAAGTGCCTCCTCGAGGCGTTCACCGCCGACGACATGGACCAGGCCATTGAGCAGTCCGCCACTCAGACTGGGTTGAGGGTTTGGGGTTTAGGATTTAGGGTTTAGGGTTTAGGGTTTAAGGATTAGGGTTTAGTGTTTAGGGTTTAGGGTTTATAGACATTGTTGTGGGTTTCAGGCTTCGGCCATAACTTGTGGTGCATCTTAGAGGTTAAAGTATAAAGGTATACATGTTGTTTCATCTTAGGGTTTAACTTCTAAGGGTTTGGGGCTTCAGGGGTTTCAGGGTTTAGAGTCTAGACTCTCTATGTTGGCTCCTCCTAGGGTCCTAGAGCTTGGCCTGAAACTTGGTGCGGGCTCAGACAGTGTGGGTTCGGGGCCTCGAGCTTTCGGATATGATGGCATGGGCTAATAGCTCCTATACACTAAAGCCTAAAAACCCTATAAACCCTAAACCCTTGAACCTAATCCTTCAGTTATTGAACGTGCCAGGTGGGTTGCTTCTGGTCGCATGTCGTGTGAGCATGGAGGCATAGAGCATATCCAGCAAAAGCTGTTTGCATCATATCCTCCCGGGCCGTCTTTGTGAGTAGGGGCGGTGTTCTTTGACGCTCACAGCCTGCAGATGTTGCTGGCTCTGGTTGATGTGCACCAACATGACATGACTAACCCACTAACCCTAAACCCTAAACTGCAAACCCTAAACCCTGCCCTGAGTGCACGGGCCATGAAATCATGAGGCCTTCGGCCCTACCGGCCCCAACCCTAAACCCTAAACCCTAAACCCTAAACCCTAAACCCTAAACCCTAAGCCCTAAGCCCTAAACCCTAAACCCTAAACCCTAGCCCCTAAACCCTAAACCCCAAACCACACTGAGTGCAGCGCCCTGAGGTGCACCCAGAATCAGTACGCCACCGGCGCGGTCAACGCAACCTGCTTGGACAACTACGGTGCCTCTGCTGCGGCTCAGGGCAGTTCAGGGTTTTTTGTTTAGGGTTTAGGGTTTAGGGTTTAGGGTCTAGGGTTTAGGGTTTAGGGTTTAGGGTTCAGGGTTCAGGGTTCAGGGGTGTGGGCGTAGGCGAATTTGGGCTTAAGGTGTTTAGGGTCCTGCTGCTCATGGCCTCACACAAGCCCATTGAACCCCGAACGCTGCGAGCCAGATGGGCGGAATATAACCGAAGCACACCAGGTTGCGGAGGGCGTGCAGCAGAATCGCTTGCCTTCCAAGCGGTTTGGGATTTGGTACAAAGACCCCAAACCCCAAACCCCAAACCCTAAACCCTAAACCCTACATCGCCCCAGGCACCGAGCAGAAGCCCGCCTACATCACGCCGAAAGCCTGCAGCGGGATAGAGGCTCCTCCGCAGAGGGTGCTGCTTGGTTGTTAGCTTTAAGGGGCCCGGAAGGGCGCTTGAGGGAAGGTGGTTTAGGGGGTTAGGGGGTTTAGGGGGTTTAGGGGGTTGTAGGGGGTTGTAGGGGGTTTGGGGTTTAGGGGGGGGGGGGGTTTAGGGGGTTTAGGGGGTTTAGGGGGCTTAGGGGCTTATAGGGGCTTAGGGTGTAGGGCTTAGGGCGTCCAGATTTGGATGCCCACACTACTTGAGGCACTCCATGCCACGCAAAAGGTGGTCTTGAGAGAACTTGGGGTGTAGAGCACGTCGGAAAGGCCAGGGAGATGTCCCATGTGTCCAAGAGTGTCTAGACCCTAAACCCTAAACCCCAAACCCCTAAGCCCTAAACCCTAAACCCCTAAACCCCTGAACCCCTGAACCCGTAAACTCCTAAACCCCTAAACCCCTAAGCCCTAAACCCCTAAGCCCTAAACCCTAAAACCCCAAAACCCCTAAACCCCTAAACCCCTAAACCCTTAAACCCCTAAACCCCTAAACCCCTAAACCCCTAAACCCCTAAACCCCTAAACCCCTGAACCCCTAAACCCCTAAACCCCTAAACCCCTAAACCCCTAGACCCCTAGACCCCTAGACCCCTAAACCCCTAAACCCTAAACCCCTAAACCCTAAACCTTAAACCCCGAACCCTAAACCCTCCACCCTAAACGTTGGGGCGGCGCGGGCAGCTGGCATCTGGTAGCTTGAGAGGCAATCCTCTCCCCTGCGGACAAGAACTTTCGAGCATCTGAGTGCCTAGTCTTTGACCAGTTTAGGGTTCAGGGTTTAGGGTTGAGGGTTGAGGGTTCAGGGTTTATAAGTTTTCGGATTTGGGTGCAAGGTCTAGGATATGAAATAGCTCTTGGGTTATGCTCGTATGTACCGTTTTTTCGTTGTAGCTGGGTTAAGGAGGCTGGTATTTGGGAGTATGTTTCGTCCGTTCTGTGGGCCAACCTAGCTACAAAGTTTCCATAGCTTTGAGGGTAAGCTCGTTACTTTGGCTGCATCCTCCTAAAACTGAACTGAGCAACCTCCTCCCCAAACCCTGAGCCTAAATTGAAAAACCTAAGCCCGGCCTAAAGCCCTTAGCACACTAAAGCCCCCAAAACCCTTAAACCCTAAAGGCCCAAAAGCCTTGGAACCCTAAACGCCCCCCAAAACCTTTAGAACCCTAAAGCCCCAACAAAACCCTCACAACCCCAACACCCCCCCAAACCCTTAGAACCCCAAAGCCCCTAAAGCCCTGAGCCCTAAACCCTAAGCCCGGCCTAAAGCCCTTAGCACACTAAAGCCCCCAAAACCCTTAAACCCTAAAGCCCCAAAACCCTTGGAACCCTAAAAGCCCCCCAAAACCTTTAGAACCCTAAAGCCCCAACAAAACCCTCACAACCCCAACACCCCCCCAAACCCTTAGAACCCTAAAGCCCCTAAAGCCCTGAGCCCTAAACCCTAAGCCCGGCCTAAAGCCCTTAGCACACTAAAGCCCCCAAAACCCTTAAACCCTAAAGCCCCAAAGCCCTTGGAACCCTAAAAGCCCCCCAAAACCTTTAGAACCCTAAAGCCCCAACAAAACCCTCACAACCCCAACACCCCCCCAAACCCTTAGAACCCTAAAGCCCCTAAAGCCCTAAACCCTAAGCCCGGCCTAAAGCCCTTAGCACACTAAAGCCCCCAAAACCCTTAAACCCTAAAGCCCCAAAGCCCTTGGAACCCTAAAAGCCCCCCAAAACCTTTAGAACCCTAAAGCCCCAACAAAACCCTCACAACCCCAACACCCCCCCAAACCCTTAGAACCCTAAAGCCCCTAAAGCCCTGAGCCCTAAACCCTAAGCCCGGCCTAAAGCCCTTAGCACACTAAAGCCCCCAAAACCCTTAAACCCTAAAGCCCCAAAGCCCTTGGAACCCTAAAAGCCCCCCAAAACCTTTAGAACCCTAAAGCCCCAACAAAACCCTCACAACCCCAACACCCCCCCAAACCCTTAGAACCCTAAAGCCCCTAAAGCCCTGAGCCCTAAACCCTAAACCCCCAAAGCCGCAAAGCCCAAAGCCCTAAACCCTAACCCCTAAACCTGAACCCGTAAACCCTTAAACCCCCAAACCCCGAACCCCTAAACCCCGAAGCCCTAAACCCCCAAACCCAGTACCGTAGTAAAGCCTCCCAACGCCCTGAGCCCTAAATGTAAACCCCTAAACCCAAAACCCCAAAACCCAGAAACGTAGAAATGCCCCCCAATACCCGAAACCCCTAAACCCTAAACCCTAAACCCTACACCCTAAACCCTAAACCCTAAACCCCTAAACCCTAAACCCTAAACCCCAAAGCCCCCCAAAAACCCTGAGCCCTAAGCGCTCCAAGCACCGAGCAAGGTACGATGCGCGCGGCATCGAAGCAGGACCCGGCATCGCGCAGGGTTTGGGGTTTGGGGTTTTAGGGTTTTAGGGTTTGGGGTTTAGGGGTTTAGGGTTTGGGGGCTTTAGGGTTTTAGGGTTTTAGGGTTTTAGGGTTTTTGGGTTTTTGGGTTTTTGGGTTTTTGGGTTTTTTAGGGTTTAGGGTTCAGGGGTTTTAGGGTTTCAGGGTTTTAGGGTTTTAGGGGTTTAGGGTTTTAGGGTTTTAGGGTTTTAGGGTTTTAGGGTTTTAGGGTTTTAGGGTTTTAGGGTTTTTAGGGGTTTAGGGTTTTAGTTTTAGGGTTTTAGGGTTTTAGGGTTTTAGGGTTTTAGGGTTTTAGGGTTTTAGGGTTTTAGGGTTTTAGGGTTTTAGGGTTTGGGGGTTTGGGGGTTTGGGGGTTTGGGGGTTTGGGGGTTTGGGGGTTTGGGGGTTTGGGGGTTTAGGCTTTTTTAGGGTTTAGGGTTCAGGGGTTTAGGGTGTTTCGGGTGGTTCGGGTGGTTAGGATGTTTAGGGTGTTTAGGGTTTGGGGTTTAGGGTTTGGGGTTTCAAAGGTGGCGTGCTTGTAGGTATCGTCCCACTCAGTCAGACAGAGTTTTCCCTTTGTGTGCGAGGTGTGCCCAGTGCGGTTTAGGGGGCGTCTCGATGTATTCAGGGCCGTGCCACGATCGGGTTCAGGTTTGGGGTTGAAGCTGCACCTAAGCCTGAAAGCCCTGAAAACCCTGGACCCCAAAAGCCCTTAAACCCGCACGGGAGCCATGTCAAAAGTTGGAACCCTAAACCCTAAACCCTGATCCCGAGCTTTCCGAGCCTGAAGCTCGGTACCCCCACGGAGCTCCTGGCAGGACCCTGCTTGGCCCCTTGCTGCCACCACCCCGGCATGAGATGGATGTTGCAGGGTTGAGAGATGGGGTCTAGGGTTTAGGGTTTAGGGTTTAGGGTTTAGGGTTTGTAGGGCTTCAAGGTTCTCCTAGACTGTTGGGGCTTGGGGAGTAGAGTTAGAGTGTCTAGGACCTTGGAGGGCGTAGGTCATGGTAGAGTGGCTGGGGTTTAGGGGTTAAGGACTTTCGTCAGAGGGTGATGAGAGTTAAGGGTTTACGGCTTAGGATAAATGACAGGTCCTTCCGAAGGTTTTCAAGCTTTGGTTGCAGATGGACACCAATGCCCTAGAATAGGGCTGTTTTGCATTTGGAGGGAAGTAGGATGCCTGACATTCATACATGCGCACTCCCAGACAGAGAGGCCCTGGTTCACAACCACCCGTGTGGCTTGGGGTTTTAGGTTTTAGGGTTTAGGGTTTAGGGTTGAGGGTTTAGGGTTTAGGGTTGAGGGTTTAGGGTTTAGGGTTTAGGGTTTAGGGCTTAGGGTTTAGGATGTAGGCTTGTTCTCCGGTCGCGTGTTGTGCAGGCTCGGTTTCCCGTATGGATGCCATGTTGAGCCCCGCCCAGCCACCTAATCCTGAAGCCCCAAGCCCCAAAACCCCAAACCCCACACCCTAAACCCTAAACCCTAAACCCTAAACCCTAAGCCCTAAGCCCCAAGCCCCAAGCCCTAAACCCTAAACCCTAAACCCTGAATCCTCAGATGAGGCGGTGAAGGGGAGCCCTTCTTTCAGTTCAACATGATCTCAGATACCTGGGTGCCCGAGTGCAGCGTTTTTTTTTTTTTTTTTTTCGTGGGCTTCGGGTTTCGGGTTTAGGGTTTGGGGTTTAGAGTTTAGGGTTTGGGGGTCCAGGGTCTAGGGTCTAGGGTTTAGGGCTTTTTTTTTGTTCGACTCCTGCACCAACAGCTCGCCACCCTAAACCTGAAGTCAGCCTCTTTTTTTTCTCAGGGTTTTTTCGGGTTTCAGGAGGTTTTAGGGTTTTTTGAGGACTGTTTAGGGTTGACGGTAACCGTGAACGAGGACTCCGAACTCTAAAGCATCCCCAAGAGTTGAACTTGAGCCAATCCTCGACATCCAGGCGTTCAATGCGATAGCGACGCCTGAGTTTAGGGTTTAGGGTTTAGGGTTTAGGGTTTAGGGTTCAGGGTTTAGTGTTTAGGGTTTAGGGTTTAGGGTTTAGGGTTCAACCACCAGAAGTGCCGAGACCGCTTCACCAGCCTTGAACCCTAAACCCCAAACCCCAAACCCCAAAAGTTGCATGGAGAATAACTTCAACCACCAAAAGTCACCAGCCTTGAGTCCGAAGCCCTAAACCCCAAACCCCAAACCCCAAACCCCAAGCCTTAAACCCCAAGCCTTAACCCGAGTCAGCGGTCTGTTGGGGAGATCGTCCTCTGCCCCCCCCCCCCCCCCCCCCCCCCGCCCAAAAAAAAAAGAATATAGAACTTCGTACAGAAAACTCCGGCACTTCGGGCTTTTTGGGCTAAGCAGGGCATTAAGGCTTAAGGTGTGAAGGCTTGAGGGGCTACTTTAGGGTTTTTAGGGTTTAGGGTTTAGGGCTTTTCGGCTCAAGGTGTTTAAGGGTTTTAGGGCGGTTTAGGTTTAGGGTTTAGGGCTTAGCACTAAAGAGTTCCCTCTCTTGACAGCCAGGTACCATGGTATCAGTACTATTGGGGTACTGAGACGCATGGGGTCCGCGCGCCCAGCCCACTGAGACTTCGAGGGTGTTTAGGGTTTGGGGTTTAAGGTTTAGGGTTTAGGGTTTAGGGGTTTAGGGTTCAGCTAAGGGTTTAGATTTGCTTAGGGGCTTTCAAAGGGTTCAAAGTCAGGGGTCTAGGTTGGGACGATCAACGCTCCCTCTGAACCCCAGCTGGTTTCGAAGTGATGCTGTATGTGCATGGAGGTGCCAGCCTCTAAAGTCCCAAACCCTAAACCCTAACCCCAAACCCCAAACCCTAAACCCTAAACCCTAAACCCACATTAACTTCTCAAAATCGAACCCTGAAGCCCTGCTCCTGGAAACCTAACTCCGAACCCAGTAGGGGATGTGTCGATGCTACAACCAGGTGGCCCCCCCAAAGCCGCCCACAGCCCCCTAAGCCCCTAAACCCGTAAATTCCCTAAACCCCCCCACCCCCCCCCCCCCCCCCCCCCCCCCAAAAAAAAAATCCTTAAATCCCTAACCCCTAACCCCAAACCCCTCTGAGATGTATGCGAACTTCGAGGATGCCAAGCGAGCCTGCCGGGCCCTTGGAGGGGAGTTTAGGGTTTAGGGTTGAGGGTTGAGGGTTTAGGGTTTAGGGTTTAGGAACTCTTTTCGGGCGTTGGCCTAGAGGCCTTAGAGTATGGGAGCTTCGGGATCAAACCTCAACCCTCTAAACACACCCGAAGTTAACACCCTACACCCTAGATCAGGGTCTTTGCAGATGCAGAATCCCGCCGCCGGCTTCGCTTCAGCTCGCCGGGATGCGAACTCCGGTCTAGGTTTATGGTTTAGGGTTTAGGGTTTACAGATGCGTCGTGCAGGGACCCTGCCCCCAACCCTGGGTCTAATGAAGGCCCTGAGGGTAAGAATCCAGGTGCTCAGGGCTTGGTATCTGCCGGTTGATGTAACACCCATGAAAGTCTTCATCTCGTTTCCCTAGCTATCCCGGCAGGATAGACGGGCTGAGTCTGATTCAGCTTGTCACGTACGCGAAGATGCCGGCAAGGTGCATCGCTAGCGCATATCTAGCAAACCGAGGGCAGGTCCGGTCCTGATGTAACCGATTTTCTGCCACTTGTGGCGCAATGTTGCGGATCGCCGGGTTGTCCGGAGCAGAACTGCCGATCCCGGCGGATGTTGCGGAGTTGCTTCCGAATGGGAGGGCTCTGAAGCAACATCTCAGCCGGCTCATCGGCATACCACGATTCAGAATTCGGCTTCTGATTGGTGGAGTTCCTCTGAATGACATTCTTCCCCTGAACTGCTACCTGCATCCCCCCTTGAAGCTGCCTCTCGACTTGCAGCTCGTGGTGCTGGGTGGCTTCCAGGACACAGATGCAGAGCAGCGCGGCCAGCTCACTCTTGCCGCAGCCCGCGGATATGTCGTCACAGTCGAGTCTGGGTCATTCTTGAAAAGTATTTCTACATGTTTATCAAGATTCAAACCCACTAAGGAACAAACGTTGTCATTTTTAAGTAGTACCCCCCCCCCCTTTTTTAAGGGTAGTACCCCCCAACAATGGTGCAGGAGTGGTTTCTGCAGCGGCCGCAAGATCCGAACTTAAAGGACGAGGATGGCAAGTGGCCTCTCGGTGAAGCATCCATCCATGGCCAGCTTGCCGTGGCTAGGATGCCCAGTTAGTGCCCCTGTTCCCTTTTTGGGGGGGCTTGAGGTTCCCTTATCAGCCCCTTTTTCGGAACAAAAAGGCACCCTTTTTAAAGCCTATAGGTGACTGGGCAACCTAGGTGGTGAACCTGCTGATTGAGAGTCGGGCTGACCTTCACGTAGCCAACCGTGATGGTGCGCCATCGCTCCACTTGGCAGCAGAAGTTGGCCACCTCGAGATTGTGACTGGGTGGGCCCTTGGAACATTTTGTATGTTCCCTCTTTGGGTTTAAGAGCATCATATTCAGGAAAAAATCTCAGAGGTCTTTAAGGGCCATCCGAGGTGAGGTCGCTCTTGCAGGCCAACGCGAACCAGAACTACGCCGACTTCGACGGACTGACCGCCCTTCAGGTGGCCTGCAGTGACGGCCATGCGGATGTTGTCCGACTGCTTCTGGACTTCCTCGCCAGCGTGGATCAGGTCGACGCTAGGAGTCTCAGTAGGATGCCCACTGCCCGAATTCCCCTATCTCTTTGGAAGGCTAGTGCTGCCAGGCTCCCTTTTTCAGATTAAATCTATGACTAAGCCCTAAACCCTAGACCCTAAACCCTAAGCCCTAAAACCCAAAAACCCTAAACCCTAAACCCTTAACCCGATATAAACCCTAAACCGCAGCCTAGGACATTGCAGGCTGGGCTGCCCTCCACCACGCCTGCTACGAAGACCATGTCTGGTGTGCCTCCCTGCTTTTGGCGGCCCGGGCCAACTGCATGCTCCCGAACCTCGAGGGCCAGACGCCCCTACATGTCGCTAGGACCCAGAAGTGGGCCCTTGTTCCCTTTTTTTTGGAGGGTTCAGGTTATTACCTTACCAGCCCCTTTAAGCCAAAAAGGGGCACCCCCGTTTTTTTTATATCATCTTGGGCCTAGGTTGCGGCAGACGAAGGGAACATCGACAGCGTGCGCTTGCTCCTGGACGCAGGCTCCCAGGACGTGCCCGACCTTCATGGCTTGAGTGCCGTGGAGTATGCGCGCCTTAGTAGCTGAGTGAGCACACTTTACACCTTTTTGGGAGAATTGCTGTAATCCCCCCCTTATAGGACTGAAAGTGTGCACTTTTTTTTTGGGGGGGGGCTCATGAACTCGGCAACTAAGGCACCAGCAGCAGCACGAGGAGGTCGTGTTGTTGCTGATGCTGCAGGAGGGCGTCACCATGGATCCGGTTGACGACACGGCCGCTGGGCTGACCTTAGGTGCTTTCCGTTTGTTCAGCTGGTGCTTCCTCTCTCATTGTTGCAAGACAGCTTGCGAGCAAGCCCGGAATTTCCCTAAACCGTAAACCGTAAACACTAAACCCTAAACCCTAAACCCGAAACCCTAAACCCCAAACCCTAAACCCTAAACCGAGGGAGCTGCGCCATCAGCCTCGCACCTCGAGCAGCATGGGGAGGGCTCCGAGCTCGTGGATGGCAGCGGGCAGCTGGCCGACGTGCCCTCCAAGCCCTCTGAGGCGCAAAGCCCAGGAGGCGCAGCATGAGCTGCGGCCTCACTAGTTGCTTAAGAACCCCCCCCCAAAAAAACACATCATAATAATAAGAAGAAGAAGAATAATGAAAATAGTAGTAGTAATGTAGTAATAATAATCATAAAATTCCCTTTAAAGGGGCAGTATGGGATTCTGGTTCTTTTTTGCTTCTTTGGGGGGGTTCTTAAGCAACAAGTAGGTGGTCGGCTGGTCACGGGTTTCAGGTGGGTGGGTGGGCAGAAATCAGTGCCAACATGATCCCCCTTATGATCCTTCTAGACATCATTCATTATCGAAACTCCTATAGGCGTAGCAAGCTACCCACCATACCCGCTCTATTTTAAGAGAGCTGGACTGGCAAAACTCGACCTCCGAGCAGTGACGGGTAGCTTGCCCGAAAATGTGCAGTCGGTGAAAGCTCCTTGTGTCACATCTCCACCACGTCTCTGTCTCCTGTCTGTCTCTCTTTCTCTCTCGCACGTTCCGGCGCAGGGGTTCTCCCAAATGGAGCCTTCCCTGTGCCCCTACTTCCTCTGATCTTTCGGCGAAGCAGGGAATGTTGTCACATGCATCCTGTCTGTCTGTCTCTCTGTCTGTCTGTCTGTATGTATGCAATGATGAATGAATGTATGTATGTACATACTTATATATGTATATATGTAGACTCATGTACATGTGTTTGTATGCTCTTTTCCCTGTCTCGCCACGGAGGACCTAGCCTAGAGGCCTTCAACCGGCCACTGCAAAAATGGCTGGCCTGGGGCTATCAGGGTTTGAGGGCTTGGATAGGTTTTAGGGTGTTTAGGGCTTAACCCTTGACCCTAAACCCCAAACCCTAAACCCTAAACCCTAAACCCTAACCCTAAACCCTAAACCTGGACCCCTCTCTTTTCTTGGCATTCTGCCATCGGAACCACCGCGTCTCAGAAGTCGGGCCCTACCTTTCCGGACACCCAGGTCACAGTTTGCCCCCGGCTTGCATGCACATGTGCATGCACATGTGCATGTGCATGTGCATGTGCATGTGCATGTGTGTGTGTGTGTGCGTGTTTTGAAAGTCGCTGTTTGAGGATTTCAAGTTGTTATTGTTACGCTTTTGGGGTTTGGGGTAGTTTTGAGGGTTGTAGGATCCGTTCTGGGATCCCTTGCTCACCCCGTGAATGAAGCATAATCCCCCTAAACCCTAAACCCTAAACCCTAAGCCCTCTCCTACTTTCCGGTGAACGCAAGCCCAGGTGAGTTGGCAACCTCCGTCCGGTGTTGGGGCGTTCTGGATCAATGGTGCGACGGAGGAAGTCGAGCTCCCAGAGGGGTTTGGGCTTACTGGATACCAGTTTAGAATATTTGTTCCCTTGCTTTAGGGTAGAGGCTCTTGGTGTTTGTGGCGCTTTGCTGAGATGACCCGAGGCAAGGCATTTGGAGGTTCCACTGACGTAGCATTCCCTGACCGCAATGATAAGAAGGGACTGATGTACACAATGGCGCCTTTGGGGGTCTCTATCTACTATAGCTGGTACAGTCCATCTTGTGTTTTGGTTGTACCCCCAGGCAAGTCACATGTTGAGATCAATGCTAAACCCTAAACCCGAAACCCGAAACCCGAAACCCTAAACCCTAAACCCTAAACCCGACCCTCAGGTGAAGAAGTCCCAGCCGGCATCCCGGTCACCTCTTCGGGTGTTGGGGCTTCGGTTTCAGCATTCAGGCTTCTTGGGGGCTTGAGGTCTCAGGAGGTGCTGGGTTTAGGGTTTAGGGTTTGGGGTTTAGGGTTTCTTCGCACATCTTGGTTTCGGGATTGAGCCGGCGGCTCCTTGGAGGGCCTCCGTGTGACTCTTCGGCCACCTTCGGAGTCAGGGTCGCAGCACCCGGTGGCCTGGAACACCTTGCCGGTAGGTTTTGGGGCTCAGGGCTCAGGGCTCAGGGTTATAGGGTAGTGGGGTTTGGGGTTTAGGGTTTAGGGTTTAGGGCTTTGGGGAAAACAAAGGGTTGGCAGCGCCCGATCTGCTTCGCATGGACCTGCCGCACACAGGCAAGGCGCCTACGCCCCGAGGCCCTTAAGCCCCCAAATCCAGCAAGCCTTAAACATAACCTACATCTCAATATCCTAAACCCTAAACCCTAAACCTTAAGCCCTAAACCCTAAGCCCTAAGCCCTATAAGTCAGCCTATAAGCCCTACAAGCCATATGTGCCCTACACCCTAAGTCCCAAACCCACGCCTCAGTTTCACCTCATCTCGGCCGGGCCGACGCTGCGTCTTGGCTGCAGAGGCTTTGCATGGGCTTTCGATATAGTTATATATATATATATATAGATTTTTATAGATATACATACATGTATATGTATATTATATGTATATTATATATATATATTCTATATATATCTTCTATATATATGTATATGAGAGAGGGACCTTTAGGGTCTATTTTGCGTCGTAGCTGTTGCTACTACTTTGAATAATAATTAAATTAATTAATTCAAATAATTAAATTCAATTAGGAGTATTGAACGCGAAAAAATTAAGAAAATAATATAATTAATTTAATTAATTCAATTGACAGATAATTAAATTAATTAAATTAATTGAATTCGAAGAAATTGAAAAAATAATTTACTTAATTTAATTCATTTAATTAATGTAATTAATCTAATTTATTTACATAATTTACTTTATTTAATTAATTTAACTAATTTAATTAATTTAATTAATTTAATTAATTTAATTCATTTAATTAATTTAACTAATTTAATTAATTTAATTATTAATTAAATTCATTTAATTAACCTACAATTAAATTAATTAAATTATTTAAATTAAGTAAATTAATTAAATTAATTAAATGAATTAAATTAATTGAATTATTTTTCGAGGTGTTTCCTGAGGATTGACCACTTCAATTACAGACCAATTACATTAATTAAATTAATTGAATTCGAAGAAATTGAAAAAATATTTTATTTAATTTAATTAATTAAATTTTTGAATTAATGTAATTAATTTAATTAATTTCATTAATTTAATTAATTTAATTCATTTCATTCATTTAATTCATTTAATTCATTTAATTCTTTTAATTCATTTAATTAATTTAGTTAATTTAATTAATTAATTAATTTAGTAATTTATAAATTTTAATTAATTAATTCATTTAATTCATTTAATTCATTAATTAATTTAATTAATAGACCAATTAAATTAATTGAATTCGAAGAAATACAAAAGTAATTAATTACTTAATAAATTAAAATTATCCAAGATGCTAATATTTGATCCTCAGAAACACCTCAAAAAATCATTCATTAATTCAACTAATTTAATTCATTCAATTGCCAGGTAATTAAATTAATAAATTCATTGAATTCGAAGAAAATTGAAAAAATTATTTAATTCATTTAATTAGTTTAAATAATTTAATTATTTTAATTAATTAGGTCAATTTATTAATAGACCAATTAAATTAATTAAAATAATTGAATTTGAAAAAAAAAATAATTAATTTACCTAATTAATTAATTGCTTAATTTGATTAATTTGATTAATTTTAGTTATCTTATTCATTTTTAATTAATTAATTAATGCAATTGCCAGATTATTAATTAAATTAATTTAATTGATCGAAGAATTGAAAAAAAATTTAATTAATTTAATCAATTTCATTATCCAATAGATTCTAGATTTGATCCTCAGGAAACACCTCAAAAAAATAATTCAATTCATTCAATTATTTTAATTATTTTAACTAATTCAATTGCCAGATAATTAAATTAATTAAATTAATTGAATTCGAACAAATTGAAAAAATAATCTAATTAATTTAATTAATTTAATTACCCGAAAGATTCTCTATTTGATCCTCAGGAAACACCTCAAAAAATAATGTAATTAATTCAATTAATTTACTTAGTTCAATTGCCAGATAATTAAAATTGAATTCGAAGAAATTGAAAAAATAATTTAAATAGTTTAATTCATTTACTTAATTTAATTGGTCGACCAATTAAATTAATTAAATTAAGTGAATTCGAAGAAATTGAAAAAATAATCTAATTAATTTAATTAATTTAATTATCCGAAAGATTCTCTATGTGATCCTCAGGAAACACCTCAAAAAACAATTCAATTAATTCAATTAATTTCATTGATTTAATTATGTTAATTTTCAGATAATTACATCAATTAAATTATTTGAATTCGAAGAAATTTAAAAAAATGATTTAATTAATTTAATTAATTTAATTATCCAATAGATCGACCAATTAAACTAATTAAATTAATTGAATTCGAAGAAATTGAAAAAATATTTTAAGTAATTAAATTAATTGAATTATTTTTCGATGTGTTTCCTGAGGATTGGTCACTTCAATTACAGACCAATTAAATTAATTAAACTAATTGAATTCGAAGACATAGAAAATAATTTAATTTAATTTACTTAATTTAATTAATTTAATTAATTTAATTAATTTAATGAATTTAAAATTTAATTAACCTACAATTAAATTAAGTAAATTAATTAAATTCACTAAATTCATTAAATTAATTGAATTATTTTTCGAGGTGTTTCCTGAGGATTGACTACTTCAATTACAGACCAATTAAATTAACTAAATTAATTGAATTCGAAAAATTGAAAAAAAAATTAATTTAAAAAAATTAATTAATTAATTTACTTGGATTGGTCGAACACCAATTAAATTAAATTAAATTAATTGAATTTCGAAGAAATTGAAAAATAATTTAAGTAATTTATAATTAATTTAATTAATCCCTAAGATTCGCTATGTGATCCTCACAGGAAAACACCTCAAAAAATGGATTTAAACATTAATATCAAATCCTTAATATAAAAATTTAATTTAATTTAATTAAATTTTAATTAATTTAATTAATGTAATTAAATTCAATTGCCAGACAATTAAACAAGAATAAAATTATTGAATTGTCGAAGAACTTGAAAAAAGAAAATCTAATTTATTGTAATTAATTTAAATGGGTCGACACAATTAAATTAATTAAATTAATTGAATTCGAAGAAATTGAAAAAATAATTTAATTAATTTAATTAATTTAATTCACCTACAATTAAATTAATTAAATTAATTGAATTCGAAGAAATTAAAAAAATAATATTTAATTAATTTAATTAATTTAATTGTCGGGTAGATTCTTTATTTGATCCTCAGGAAACACCTCAAAAAATAATTCAATTAATTTAATTAATTTAATTAATTTAATTAATTTAATTAACCTACAATTAAATTAATTAAATTAATTGAATTCGAAGAAATTGAAAAAATAATTTAATTAATTTAATTAGCACTTTAAATTGGTCGCAAGCAAATTAAAATTAAACTAATGATTGTTTCGAAGAACTTTGAAAAATCCTTTAATTATATTTAGTAATATTACTAATATTACTAATATTAATAATCTTTAATAAATTAATATAAAAACATATAAAATCTTATTATTGAAATAATATTATATAACTTTATTAAATATTAATATTGAAATATTCATAAGATTTAATAATATTAATATTAATAAACTTAACAATAATACTTATAGTAGTTTCATTAATACCTCCAATTATAGTATAATATTAAGCATCTTATGAAATATTAATGAATATTATGTAAGTATGATTAAGATTATTAAGATTATTAAGATCTAAGATATCTTAAGAATATCCCCTCAGGATTATAAGATTAGTAAGATTAATAAGATTATTAATATTATGAATATAATTAAGATTATTAAGATTATTATGATTATTAAGATTATGAAGATTATGAAGATTATGAAGATTATGAAGATTATGAAGATTATTAAGATTATTAAGATTATTAAGATTATTAGTATCATTCATATCATAAAGATTATTAATATTGTAAATTTTTTTATTATTATCAATGTTATTAATGAGCTCGTAAAATGACAAATCGCAAGTAGTGTCCCCTTAAGCCTTAAGTTGTTTGCTTCTGGGGGGGCGGGGGTTTTAGACTGGCTAAAGGGGGCGGGGAGCTCGAAGTTTAAGGCTGCAGATCTACAGGCCTTGACTGTTTCCTTCCAGGGGAACCGGGGGGATTTAGACAGGGCCTTCGGGGTCTTCAAGGACTGAGCTCCCAAAATGACAAATCGCAAGTAGTGTCCCCTTAAGTCTTAAGTTTTTTTGAAATCAAGCTCCCAAATGACAAATTGCAAGCAGTGTCCCCTTATTTTTTTTGAAAAACTGAGCTCCCAAAATAATAAATCGCAAGCAGTGTCCCGAAAACTGAGTTCCCAAAATGACAAATCGCAAGCAGGGTCCCCCTTACGTTTTTGTGGAAAACTGAGCTCCCAAAATGACAAATCGCAAGCAGCGTCCCCGTAAGTCTTTTGGAAAACTGAGCTCCCATAATTTGGGAAACAGCGCCGCGTAGATCCAGGCAGATTTCGTCCATGGTGTTTTTGCAACAGATTTTGTCCCTGGTGTTTTCTCAAAACAAACGACGGACAAAATCTGCCTGGATCCACGCGCCACGTTTTTTGTAAGAAAACAGCCCTGCGTGGATCCAGGCAGATTTTGCACATGGTATTTTCTCAGAAAACCTCCAAGGCAAGGTTAGACTATTTCCTGACTATTATCCTATTCTCCGAAAACACACTATGTAAGTTTATTTCGTAAATAGGCTCTATCCTTCATAGATCCTTGAATCATCCTATTTGACTAAATGGCCTTG